TTTACGTACATAAAAAATAAACATAAGTTTTCCATTAATATGAGTAAATTTTATAAATGTACTGAAAGATTGTAAGGACTGTGAGTAGTTGAACGAGTAGACGCTCGATGTCGTTAGGGTTTTCTCTGTGGGTGGAAGAAAGGAGCTCTTTCGCTGCCATGCAGTCCTGGTATCCTGGCGCTTCCACATCTCGTCAAAACGGTGACGGACAAGTACCAAGTAGGTGACAGCTGGAAACCCTCCTCCTCCGCCTCCGTTCAACCCTCCACCCCCTGATGCCGCCCCTTTCCTTTACTTGCACCCTTTCTTCGTTGCACTTTGCACTTTTAAAACATATAATTATAAATAAAAGGGATTTATTTAATAAATAAAATTGAACAATATACAAAACAAAGGAAGAAAAATATTTTTTTTAAATGAAATCAATTAGATTTTGTTAAAGTATTCTCAGAAAGTAACATTTTTTGAAACAATTTTAATGCTCTTATTCGTTTTTAATGTAGTTTTTTTATTAATTAAATTTATTTATTAAAACTGGTTTTATTAAACCAACCATTAATTTTACAATAATATTATAGAATAAATAAATGTTTACATTCTAATAAGATTACATTTCATTATTCACTATTCATTTTTAACTACACAAGTTCATATGGCTTTGTTCTTTTTAATTTTCTGACCATGTTTCGGTTATGTAAGAGTTTGGTCGCTTCCACATTCTCGTGCTGGCTGAGCCGAGCCTGGTGTTTGGCGGCAAATCTTTGAATTTCCGCCGTGGCCTCAGGGATCTTAAGATCTCTATGTAAGTCCTTATTCCTTATGTACCATGTTACGTAAGTTTATATTTTGGAATGTTTGTATGATTTTGATATTGCTGTGTTTGGTACAGCCCCATAGTTGAATACCATATGTCCACATAGGCTTTATGACTTGTATTTATATAATAATAGTTTTGTATAGAAAGGTTGGAGCCATGTCCTATCAACCATAGTTGTCTATACCTTAAACCTATTTCTGTCATTTTTTTCATCGCGTGTTCTTTCCATCTCAGCTTGGCATCTAAGGTCATTCCCAGATATTTAGCTGTATCGCTGTATGGTGCAGAAGTTCCATCGATTGTGAGCGAACATGGTCCACTTTTTGTTTGTAATGATTAGATGAACTGATTTATGCTGATTTAGCTTGATTTTTCATTTTTTGTCCATTCGTTTATTTTATTAAATTCATTTTGGAGGATTTTGGTTGAATGGGTGATAGTCGATCCTAATGATATCACCGCAAACTTTACAATTTTTACTTCATCTTTTTTTGGAAAATCACTGGTGTATAACAAGTAAAGAAGTGGACCAAATATGCTACCTTGTGTCACTCCTGCATTTATTGTTTTTAATTTTGAATATTGATCTTGCTTGATTCTAAACAGTTAGGTAGGAAGTGATAATATCACATACTACTTTCTTAGCATACCTTTTAGTTTATTTATGAGTCCTTCGTGCCAGACCTTGTCAAAACTTGTGAGACTTCAAGGAAGATTGCAGAACAAATTTGTTTTTCTTCAAGAGATTTTTCTATCACGTCCGTTACTCGGTGAATTTTGTTTATTGTTGAATGTCTTGTTCGGCATCCAAATTGGTGGTCAGGAATGATTTGGGTTTTATTCGTTTTTTAACAACTTTTCCAAGAGTTTAGACACTGTCGGTAGTAGCGATATTCGACTGTATGATTTGACCTCGTTCGCCGGTTTTCCTTTTTTTTTTTATCATAATGACTTCTGCTTTATATTTATTTTAGTCTGATTGCAGCATGATATAGGTATGTTAGTTTAACTATACCCTTTTTTGGCAATTGTTTTAGTATTTCTCCAGTGATAAGGTCATATCGTGGAGTCTTTTTAGCAGGTAAATTTTTAATAACTTGTGCTACTTTTTTAGCTGAAACTAGCTTTATATTTTCTTCTTGTGGCGTGGTTGTTACTTCCAGCTGAGTAACTAAAGTATTCTCAGAAAGTAACATTTTTTTAAATAATTTTAATCCTCTTTTCGTTTTTAATGCAGTAAGTATGGATTTAAATATTTACTTGTTGTTTGATATTTTCAGATCATTTTGTTCTGGCCTGTCATTGTTTTAGTTTGTCAGGCATCGTAATGGGTTAGATGTCGGGGTGTCGCAATATTCTGCGCTCTTTACGAACTGTTGTATCCACGTTCGGTGCTTTTCTGTGCTTACAGCACTCTGTGTCCTAGTTCATAAAGGAACTTGATTAGTACGGTTTCCGTGCTTGTATCACTTCTAAGAGAAGCACCACAGTTAGTAGGTGTGTTGGTGTTTCCTCTGCTTTGCAGAATCTGAACTTTCCGTGTTGAGCTGTACCAGTGTTCTTTAGAAGCCCATTCATTTGAAGTGTTCTGTTAAGATTCCAGTAGGATTCGCAGTTTTTCCAGTTACTTTTAATTTATTCTGTTATCATCTCTTTCTTTCCAAAGTTTGCTAGAATGTTATTGGATTGTTTGTGTCAAATGTTGAGTTCCACTGTTCCCTTATTTTCTTTTTCTCTTTCTGTCTAAGGTGCTCGTTGATAGTGTGGATTCCTATGCCTCCGAAGGGCTTGCCTGTCAGCTGTATAGCAACCCTTCTTTTTCTTGCAAGGCAACCATTTTTCCATTCCTTCTACTCCCACATGTCCTGGGACCCAGCAAAGGGTGGCTTTGTTGCTGGATGCTGTCCTTGACAATGTTAGGTATTCAAGGAAATTTGAGATGAAAGCTAAAATATGTCAATATGTAGACATATTTAAGATTGTTTTTTGCAATTAATTAAGGTTTTTAGTTGAGATAAAAAAGTCATTGGCACGAGCGGGATTCGAACCCACGATCTTCGGCTAGATACGCCGCTGCTCTACCACTTGAGCTATCATGACCTTGATCCACTCGGGCACCAACTTCCCATCTCAACCGCACCTTTTGAATTTTCCCTCCTTTTTGCCATTTTTTCAATGTCGTGTAATCGGGTTGGATTCTCGACGAATGAAATGGCCACGGAGAGCTTTATTGAAGTATACTTCATTTTTAATCATTAAATTCACTAATTTCGTGATCCGCTTGACCAATTAATATATTAATTAAGGTTTTTAGTTGAGATAAAAAAGTCAATGGCACGAGCGGGATTCGAACCCACGATCTTCGGCTTGATACGCCGCTGCTCCTCCACTTCAGCTATCGTGACCTCGATCCACGCGGACACCAACTTCCCTTGAGATGGGAACTCAACTAAAAACCTTAATTAATTCTAATATATTAATTGGTCAAGCGGACCACGAAATTAGTGAAGGTATATTTTATACGAAACATGTCAGTTTATGTGTGGTGTTAAGTGACCGTTAGTTAATGATTATTTGGGGATCGTGAGATGCGGTCTGATGTGACGTAGGTTTGGAAAAATATTTTCTTTATCGTGCCACGTTTCGATCTTTATTGAGATCATCTTCAGGGCCTGGGATTTATAAACGTAGTTTAAATTATAAAACTTTACATGTAAATTGTAAAAAATGATTTGAAGTATTTGTACTCACTCAAAGTGTTTGTTTTCTGTGTCTCAATGCTGTGTCTCGTGTTTAGAGTACCGGTGAGATATTAATATCTTTGATTGAATCTAAAATTTCTATCGCTGTATAAATTCATTTTTTCACATCTTACATGTATTTATAAACTTTAAACAATGTTTATAAATCCCAGGCCCTTAAGATGTTCTCAATAAGGATCGAAAGTGCATAATTAATGCTGGTTTTGAAAATTTGCTTTATTTTTGCAGTTGCTGGTCATATAAACAAAGGTAAATCCTCAAATATAATTTATGTTATATATTATATTGTATTATCAAAATCATAAATATATGTGCCGACAAACATCAAGTGGTCATCGCCGACCCTCTGCACTTTATGCGAAAATTGAGGTTTTTTTTCCGCGCATGTTTGTTTCTGATTCTCTCATATTTATGGATATAATGGAGATAAATACTTTTAAACGTTATCTTTTATACAAAACATTTCAGTTTATGTGTGGTATTAAGTGACCGTTAGTTAATGATTATTTGGAGATCGTGAGATGCGGTCTGGTGTGACGTAGGTTTGGAAAAACATTTTCATTATCGTACCAACGTTTCAATCTTTATTGAGGTCATTTGCAGAGCCTGGGATTTATAAACGTTTCGATCTTTATTGAGATCATCTGCCCATGTATTTGTTAAATTTAAACAATGTTTGAAAATCCCAGGCCCTGAAGATGATCTCAATAAAGATCGAAACGTTGGCACGATAAAGAAAAAGTTTTTCTGAAACCTACATCTCACCAGACTGCATCTCACGATTTCTAAATAAATATCGATGAACGGTCACTAATCACCACACAAAACAAAATAAAAATTTAAAAAACAATAACAATAAGAAACAAAAACAAGCCATTTCCTTTGTCATCGAGAATCCAACCCGATTACACGACATTTAAAAAATGGCAAAAAGGGAAAATTCAAAATGTGGGGTTGAGATGTGAAGTTAGTCTCCGAGTGGATCGAGGTCACGATAGCTCAAGTGGTAGAGTACGGCGTATTTAGCCGAAGATCGTGGGTTCGAATCCCGCTAGTGACACTGACTTTTTTATCTCAACTAAAAACCTTAATTAATTGAAAGATATTAATTGGTCAAGCGGACCATGAAAACTAGCGAATTTAGAAAACAATGAAGATTGTGCAATGTATGTCTATCAGACCAATGCTTTTTGAAATGATCAAGCTATGTATTTATCATCCCGCAAGGCCGAAAAAGTAAGAATTTCCTAGTAGTTTGTTTTACTTTTTTCTTTTCCTATCGTTATATTTTCAGTTTTCTTTAAAGTCTAGTTAACTACAAATTATGGCTTCAGTAGGATATTCCCTTAAAATAATTAATCAATATCTCTTTTGTTTTATATATATTTTATATTTATACATATATTTTTTTTTTAGTTTTATTGGTTTCGAACAACATGTAAGGAAAATTATTAGATTTGTTTGCTGTCCCCATCAGTTTCATCTTTTATTTTCAAATTTATTTACAGCACTGTTATTAAAATAATGATATTGCGTCTTGTAAAGACTCAAACGAAAGGTTAAAAGTCATAGTCGTACTTTTCTAGGTGGGGAAAAGGGACAACTGCATCATAGTATTCAAAATCGTTGTTAATTCTGGATCTTGGAATCGTTCCCTGTTTAATTTTTCTGTAAGGAAACGGTCGTTTCTTTTCGGTGTACCTGTCAACATATAACATGGGCGTCAATTTCTCCTGTTTAATGTATGGGTTACGAATATATTTTTCTTTTGACCATTCATTTCTCATTATTTTTCTCTCACGCGACTTGACTCTCATGTTAGCTTTTTGTCGAACTCTTTGTTCCTCGTGCGAGTTATAGCTGTTTTTTTTATTTGTATAATCAGCCAACAATTTATACTTTGAAGGTTTGATGGAGGTAGTTTCCGGTTTTGAACATTCCGAGGCCTCGGCGTTTTCAGTTGGTTGATTGCCTTCCAGGTCGCCCTTTGACAACGTTTGGTTTCTGTGATCTGTAGGGATATTTCCAGTAGGTTCCAAATCAGCCAGGAGAAGTTTCGGCGGTTTAAACGACTTATATTCTTCCTCGGTTTGAATTTGCTCAACACACGGAGTTGTACTTGAATGCGGGCGAACTTTTCTTGGGGTTACAACCTGTGGAACGTTACACCCACTTTGTTTGAATTTACTGTTCTCATCATTGCACAAATTCACTTCTTGACGTGGTTTTTCATTTGATAAATCCATCAGCCTTTGCTTTTGAACCATGTACAATAACTTGGCAATGTCAAAACCATTGGATCTTTTTAAAATTCGAGAGTTTGACGCTTGATCGGGACGTGCTCCTGAGTGTTGGGCAACTATTCTTCTGGAATGGATACGTGGTATAAAGATGCGTTCCAATTCCTTATTATTCTCCTGTTCGTAGTAGCTATCAGAGTCCAATGACCTAGGAAGGTAGTTCTTATTTTCAACCCATTTTAAATCCCTTCCATGCCCTTTAAAAAGAAAATATTTAGATCTATTTTAAAATAGAACAAAAGGAAATATTATAGAGTTCACCTAAACCACAAATACTTTCTAGGAACAACAAAATCACAAGCCAAATCTTCCCATCCGGCACAACAATGTACGACAATGAAAAACAACGCATTACTAAAATAAAAAATCTAACGAATAACACATGTTTATTTTAAAATATTAATCTGTAGTCTAAGTAGTGATAATCAAAATGATATATCCTAAAGGAGGCTGGCCCATCTTGAGAAAGGAACTTGGTTGGTTCGTCCGCGTTGCTGGAGTGGTGATTGCCTGTGGTTAACTAAAGTTTTCACTTGTGTCAATAATGCTTCCGATTTCCAAGAAACAGGCAATGAACTTGCAGCACCCCTTGCAGCATAAACTGGGGCACAACCTGATTGACAGTCAGAAGACTCATCGTCGAGGGCTCAATTTTTTCCTTTACACTTTTCTCAGCGAGGCTTGTGCCACACGGCACTACTATGTGTAATAAATTTTCAGTCAAATTAAAATATTGAGGGATGGTAACGGATTTGGATACGCAGGATAATAACAGATCGTATTGGTATGGTAGAAAAGGATGCTAGGAAGTGGGGTTTGCACTCCCCAGGCACTGCAGCCTTCTAGCTTATTGTATCTTCCTAGTTCCTTAGTTCAGTGCAATAGACTCAATCCTTCTTCTTAGAAGTATCCGGTCATTGACTGCCGCTACTGCAATTTGATTTCCTAAGTTTTTTCCGTACGTTAGGTTAAACCTCTATTGATCTGTTGTTTCGCATTCGAAGATGATATGAGTGGCTGTTTCTTCCACCTCATTACATAATCTGCAAATGGGATCATCGTTGTATATACCCATGTTGTGTAGTTGTTTTCTCAGATGCCAGTGATTGGTTAGTAGTCCAACCACTACTCTGAGTTTGGCCCTCTCCAATTGCAGCAGTGCTTTTACCAGTCTCGGTGGGGGTTGTTTCAAGTTTACTATGTCTAGCACCGCTAGAGTTTATTCACTTCTCCTTTTGTTTTGCTTGGTTCCATTCTGCGATGGAGGATTCTATATTTCTTCTTGTTATCCCAAGAATAGGTTCAGGGCATATGTATGGTCTTGCAGATCCTCCTCTGGCCAGTCTGTCTGCTTTCTCGTTACTCAAAATTCCCCTGTGCCCTGGCACCCAAGATATCATCAGGTTGTTGTGTTTCCCCAGGTTTTGGAGATTTTGGATGCATTCACTGACTAATTTTGATGTGATTCTTTTACGTGCTGATGCTTTAATGGCTTCTTGGCTATCTGATCGTATGAGGAATTTTTGTCAGTGTAACCGCTTTTAAGATTTTCCAGTGCACAAGCATTGATGGCATGTATTTCTGCTTGAAAGACCGAAGTGTACTTCCCTAATGAGTTTGATTGCTCATGTTTTGGGCTTGTACAGAAAACGCCTGATCCAGTTCCTTCGTTTGTTTTGGAGCCATCTGTATACGATATCATTGTATCTGATGCTCTTTTGTGTTCTTCCTCTTCTTTATAGTCCATTGAGATTTTATAGGAAGTTGTGAAGATTGTTTCCGGGATCATGTAATCCGTCCCCATTTCTAATAATGGGTGTCTGATTTTGTTGATTATGGTTGTATGCCCGAATTGTTTAGTTCCTTTCCAATTTACTTGTTTCTGGAGCCTAAGTGAGCTTTTATATATTTTTATAATATTTACAGTGGATGTAGGTTTAGCAAAGTTTCTAATGCGTTTGTAGGGGTTGTTCTCATTGCCCCTGTGATACATAGGTTTGCTAGTCTTTGTATACTGCCCAATGTTTGGGTAGCTACTTTTTGTTGAGCTTTGTTCAACCAACAGATCGTATTGCTATGAATGAGAATATTTACCGTGCAGCGAGGATTACTAATATCATGTATGATTTACATATTAGGCAATAGAACTGCTGGAGGAATTTTTTATGATTTCTCAGCAAAGCATGTGTCACCTTAAGTCCGTTGTTTGTTAAAATGCAGTCAAATTAAAAAATTGAATTATGGATTAGCATAGCTAAAAGGTCAAGAAATTAGAGTTTGTATTGAGATACGTAGGCATATTGAGTGTGCAGCGAGCTTTCCATAAAACACTCGTATTGATAGGATTGTAATGATTTTGTGAACTACTTGGCATATTCTGTTCACAAAAGGCCTGCGGTGGACTTTCTTGAGTTTCCTTAGCTAAGCCTCAAGTCTTTTGATTATTAAAGCTAGGATAAAAGGTCCTGATCATCGTCGACAGAAGGAGCTGCAAAGGTACAATGAGTGGCGAGCCAAATGAATACACGATAGTTAAATAAGATAATGACAAAACGTCTGCCAGACATGATTGAAGGCTCAAGTAAGAAGTTTATGATAGGATGTTCGTGAGAAATATTAAGAATGACACTAAAGCTGGTTCTGTTGTGTAGTGATCAAATTTCTACCAATAGTCACCATTGCTTCAACAATGCTTCTGACTTTCAAAAAGGAGGGGGCTCAATCAGCTTAAGTCAGAATTGTTCGCGAGATTTCATCATTGTTGGTGCAAACCACGGGCAACAGGGTTTTCTCAGGTTCCGCAGCCGACGTGGGTGACATTTTCCCGACGCCTAATGCTCAATACTACATCAATCTTCCCACATGTTCAATTGCCAAAATTACACCGGACTCAGGATCATCACAAAACCCTTGTTCCAAGTGTTGACCACAACAGATCACTGAACACTTCGTTCACAGGGGTTTTTCGATGAACATGCTGCAAAGAACACGCCATCTCCGATTCAAGGGCAGACCGTCCCCACCATTGCGTGGAGCAATGTGTTTTTAACTAAAGTTTTCACTAGATGACACCAACGCTTTAAAAATATTTCCTCCTTCCAATGAACTGGCTGCATAAGCAGGGATCCAACCTGCTTAGAGCAGACTGGTCATCATCATTTTCAGGTGACACGTCTGACAGACCAACCCAGCGAGAACAGACAGGTCAAAATGATCGTTACGAACAAAATTCAGCTTCATCACTCCACAGACCACATGAAACTTGATTCTTCTTCTAGTTTTAAATTTCGGAAGGCTGCTACACTTTCAAACACAACTTCAGAAAGTTGCTCTAATGACGAGAGAGTGACTTTATTTATAGGTTTGTAATTAAAAACCCGTGAAGGTGATTCATGGCCTGTAGACGTTTATTGTCGTATTTCGATAGTAGTGTATCCCATGCTCGGTTATATTCGTCTTCTGTAAAAGGGACAAATGCGATGCTTTGAAGTGCTGAGCCCTTGAGTGAAGTTCTGAGGTAATGATACTTTTACATAGTGTCCAGTCCCTTTTTATTGTGTACAACTCCCAGAAAAGTGTCCTTAAAAGTGGGCCACTGTGCTAATTCACCATTGAAAATTGGTAAATTTATTGGGGGATAATTGGAATGAGAGCTAGTCGATGCACAGCAATGATTGGTAGTTTGTGCAATCTTTGCATCATGTGCGGTTATTTGGGAAGTCGTATGTGGGGTTGAAAAGGCCAAAGCTTCATAATATACTTTTCTTGTGGAACTACTCATATTCTCCAAATTACAAGTGTCTCTGTTCAACAATTTCCCATAACGTATGGCTTCAGATATCTTTTCCATACATTTTTCAAATGTACTATCAAGGCGGGAAATACGGGCTGTAAAAATCGAACTTTCGTCTAAAGCTTCAGGGACTGTCTTGATTTTGAAACCCAAGTCTCTTGTTTCTTTAATGTCATCACACAGCCCTTCAACTTCGTTCGCACACTCTTCAAATCGGATCTCCAGCTCCTTCATAGAGATCGGCATGATTGGTGAAGTTATGGAAATTTAAAATTGAAAAATAAATGAGATGCAATGAACTACAATCCGGCCCGGAGGACCATTAAATGTGCGAGCAAGGGCGACTCAACTCAATTGACGATAATCCCTCACTCTCCGAAATTCTAAATTTCTCTAGAATCCGCTAAATATCAAATTTTTCAAGTCACACAATAAAAAAATTACAAATAAGCAGGTGGCGCAATAAAACCTCAGGGAGGAAATTGTTAGTTTGTCAATAGATCTCTCACTCAGAAATCAACACACAAAATTATTTGGTCTCAAAACATTCAGAGCCCATGTGCATGGGCTTCAGAAAAAAATATTATCAGCTCGAAATCGCAAAATTAAATAATTTAGGTACACAATTTGAGTCACCTTTTACAGCTCCCAGGACATGTAAGAGTAGAGGAAAACGAAGAAGGAAAATGCACTTGGAAGATCATATGAGCTTATAGCTCACCCCAGTTTTCTGTTGTTTTGCTGTGGAAGTACTTAGTTTCCTAACTAGTAGCACTTATTACCCAATTTTAACTTCTGTCTCCTTAAAAATTGAATGTACATCTTTTTCAATGCTAAAGATCAGGGCTTAGGGTTCTTTTTTGTTATTTTCTCATGAATAGTACCTAACCTTAGAAAATAAGAAAATGAGACATCGGAGCAATGCAGCCAGATGTTTCCGTGCACGTATGTCTCTGTACTCGATTTTTCCCGTGCTTTTAAATGATTCACTCCTATAAAGTAATCTAATAGATAAGCAAAAAACTATTCTATAGTTTCTCTTAACAATATTTCGAAAAATTTTATGTTAATTATAGTGTCAGTTCAAAGTTTCTGCTAAATGACTAATCGCCCGTGTACAATAGTGTATTGTGCTTGTTGGTTCGCATTGTTTCCTTGTGTATAATGCAATTTAATAATAAACATATCACTAAACTAATTCTAAAAGAAGTGTCGTACAAGGTATCGACTCACGTAGGTGCGGGGATTATTAGATGATGCGAGGTGCTGCGCATGCAGGCTTGAGCACAGGGAAACAACTCAAGTTGAATGCGCAACTTACACAAACCATGAACCTGAATATCAGGATCGTAGGACTTCGGAGAAGCGATTCGGACGGAGTAAAATACATTCTCGAGTTAATCATAAATCTGCAGGCGGGGGAAATTTAAAAAAATATATATGCGTATGCAAGGAAAATTTAGTGGGTTAATCTAAAGAATGTCATAATGAACATCTGTACTTTATAACTTTTTTCTGTTTTACTGAACGGGCATAAGAAATAAAACCGGGAAAATTAAAATTATCGACGAAGACGCAAAACCGTAAAACTCGTTTTTTTTTTAGTTTTATCGTCTGGTAACTTTAAAAACACCCTTGAGTAATTTCAATAAAATCATCAATATGTCATCAGATTTTTATCCAAATTTACCTAGTTGACACTTGCAACTAGCGATTTGTGAGCAGCGGCTTCGATAAAAACATCGATCTCAATGATCGCAAGTTCCAAAAATGTGAATTATGATAGTGTGGTGATGGATACAAAACGTGGGGGTTTTTTGTTCTCTCCAACACACTTCTGTTTTATTTCACTTTCAGCTTAATCTTCTTTCTATGTTCCGGTGGTTTGAATTTTTTAACTTGTGTCATTTTTAAGTTTAAAATTTGTTTGAGTGATGGTTTTGTAATACAAATTCGGCTAGAAACATAGCATTGTCGGAAGCGTGTGTGGCCAGGGTGCTTCATATTCCCAGAACAACTGTCCATTGCTACCAAATTACTGGAGGTTACCGAAGAAGGCATGGATCAGGTCGCCATCGTGTCACATTTCAGAAAGATGATCCTTTAATTTTTTCTGGGGCGTAGATGGCCTCAACGGTTAGGCGTTGACACCGCGCTCATCACTGTAAGGTGAAGGTCCCGGGATCGAATCCAGCGGCCCTGCATTCGAACCCGACATACTTACAAGTGTTGTTTTTTTTCAAAAACACCGGCAGCCTGAGTGTTTATATGACCTCTGCAGTTGCGGACCCTCGTTAAAAAATTAATTAATTAATTTAATTTTTTAGAATATACTCCGTAATTGATATTTTGCCGTTGTTGAGATCAAGCATCGACTTCAACACGATAAAAATGTCAGTTTATTCACTGTACGAAGACTTTCAGAAGCTGCATTAAGTGCGAGAAGGCCTGCCACTGGTCCAGAACTTCTGAAAAAGCACAGAAAAGCTCGGTTAAGTTGCGAAAGAAACCACATCAATTGATATAACCAAATTGGACTTAAATAGTGTTTTCGGATGAGTCAAGGTTTTGTTTGAGTCATCTGACGGCGAGAGAGGATTAGGAGAACAACAGTAGCGTGAGATATCCCCGCAACATTTTCACTCCGGAGAAGCTATGGAGGTGGTGGTTTTGGGTTTATGGTTTTGGCAGGCATTTGTATGGAAGATCGCCCAAAATTGTTCTTCATAGAGGGTCCCTCACAGCTGCCAGATACATTGAAGTTATCAGAAGAAGTTGTGCCGTATATGCCACTAATTGGTGACGGTTTTATTTTTATACATAACAATACAAGGCCCCACATAGCTAGAACTATCGATCACTCTCACCCTTGAAGATGTATGAAAAGTCCTCCTAGCAACTGTTGTAGAGCATAAAATTTGCGAAAACGATGGTTCAAAATTTATGCATTCTGGAAAATCGTGAGAGAGAGTAATTGGATTTTTCCATGAGCACGTAAAAAACACCACGGTTTTAGTCCAAAAATTACGAATAACTCGAAAACGGTTGAGAAATCAGGATAAGTGGAAGGTGTCCAGTTAAAAGCTGATTAAAATTTCTTATCGCTGGTTATAGGGCGCCGCTCCAAGGACGATTTCCTGTTTCACAGCTCAATTGAAGTTTTCGTAAAAAGTGTAAAAATTGACTTGTTCCCGAAATTTGGGATTTACTGTTGAATGACTGAAGTTAGGAAAACATTTAAAAACCATTTTATTCATCGTGATATTTACTAAAAAACGAGATCCAGCTCCCGCCTGTGTCTTAAAAGGCTGAGAAAATATCCATTTCCAAAGTTGCCATGTTTTCGTACAAAAACGAGTATTTTTATTTTATTTTTTTATTTATTTTTTTTTTAAATGGGTAGTGTGAATTTGACAAAAGTCTATTTTGGACATATTTAATTTGAAAGGTCCTCGCTGTAATAAAATCCAATATAAACTGAAAAACATTTTCTTTATCGTGTCAACGTTTCGATCCTTACTGAGAACATCTTCAGGGCCTGGGATTTATAAACATTGTTTAAATTACACAAATACCTGTAAGATGTGAAAAAATGAATTTATACAACGATAAAACTTTTAGATTCAATCAAAGATATTAATATCTCACTGGCACTCTCAACACGACACACAGCAATGACACACAGAAAACAAACACTTTAAGTGAGTACAAATACTTCAATTGAATCTATAATTTCTATCATTTTATAAATTCATTTTTTACATCTTACATGTATTTTTATAATTTAAACAACGTTTATAAATCCCAGGCCCTGAAGATGATCTCAATAAAGATCGAAACGTTTATAAATCCTAAACCCTGAAGATGATCTCAATAAAGATCGAAACGTTTATAAATCCCAGGCCCTGAAGATGATCTCAACAAAGATCGAAACGTTTATAATTCCCAGGCCCTGAATATGATCTCAATAAAGATCGAAACATTTATAAATCCCAGGCCCTGAAGATGACCTCAATAAAGATCGAAACGTTGGCACGATAAAGAAAATATTTTTCCAAACCTACGTCACATCAGACCGCATCTCACGATCTCCAAATAATCATTAACTAACAGTCACTTAACACCACACATAAACTGACATGTTTCGTATAAAATATACCTTCACTAATTTCGTGGTCCGCTTGACCAATTAATATATTACAATTAATTAAGGTTTTTAGTTGAGTTCCCATCTCAAGGGAAGTTGGTGTCCGCGTGGATCCAGGTCACGATAGCTGAAGTGGAGGAGCAGCGGCGTATCAAGCCGAAGATCGTGGGTTCGAATCCCGCTCGTGCCACTGACTTTTTTATCTCAACTAAAAACCTTAATTAATATATTAATTGGTCAAGCGGATCACGAAATTAGTGAATTTAATGATTAAAAATGAAGTATACTTCAATAAAGCTCTCCGTGGCCATTTCATTCGTCGAGAATTCAACCCGATTACACGACATTGAAAAATGGCAAAAAGGAGGGAAAATTCAAAAGGTGCGGTTGAGATGGGAAGTTGGTGCCCGAGTGGATCAAGGTCATGATAGCTCAAGTGGTAGAGCAGCGGCGTAACAAGCCGAAGATCGTGGGTTCGAATCCCGCTCGTGCCATTGACTTTTTTATCTCAAAACTACTACTAAAAACCTTAATTAATTGTAATAAAATATAACGTTTAAAAGTATTTATAATCCATAAATATGAGAGGTCAGAGACAAACATGCACGGAAAAAACATACAATTTTCGTGTAAAGGGCAGAGGGCAGAGGTCGGCGATGACCTTTTGATATTTGTCGTCCCATATATTTATGATTTAAATAATACAATATATCCATAAATTATATTGAAGGATTTACCTTTGTTTATATGGCCAGCACCTGCAAAAATAAATCAAATTTTCAAAACCTGCTTTAATTTTGTAGTAATTAGGTTAAAGTTGCCTTGCTGACAAACGTGTCACGTTAAAGCAACAGCCGTGCATCTCGGCACTGCCCCATCCGATTTTTGCTTGATTATGAACAAATTACTTCTTACTCATTATTCTTACTTCTTAAATAATGCAAAATTAAATGTTTGTATATTTCATTTTTAATTTCACAGACTTGGAAAAAAAATGAATAAAGTGATTATCCAATTTTTCAAAATACGTCAGTTTTTTAATTCCATGACGCAATAATGTCTCCATGGTTGGGTGGGAGAACACACGACCCGCCTTCAAGTGTCACCAATAACCAAGCGGCTTGTTACCTGTTTAGTTTACAGTTTTTACCTTTTTTCAGTTGACTTAGAAATTAATGGTCTTTTCTCCAGTAATTTTACTTTGTACGTGAAAAAAACCGGCGAAAGGATCAGCTCTGTCCAATTTCCACGATGGGGGCACACGTTTCACGTACCGATTTCGAGTGGGTCTACACCGAAGAGCCCCACGCCTCCAGAAGGAAAGAAATTCTCGGTATGGTTGTTTTTATCACCTTAACGGATTAACTTATACATAACTTGTATGTTGTATATAATGAACTTGTATATAATGACCTGGAATTACATAATTCTACACGCTAGACATATTGTGCAATGAATTTCAACAGAAAACATCGCACTTCAAAGTTGAAAGCAAAGGTCACATTTTCCTTAGTCATAAATGTTTCATTCATCCAGTCCGTTTATTTCTAATTTTACCTCTTTCTAATATAGAGTTATGTTGTAAATTGCTTCTACCAAAAATCAGCTGTGTTAAGGTCATAAAAATCCTGTAGAGAAAGTTATAAAACTAGTGTACTATAAAGGATTATGGACGTGTTAGGCTAGAATTACAGCGGATCTTATAGTATCAAAATGATCAGAAAAGGTCATGACTAGCCCAGAACTTAGTGGTCATATTGTAAAATACTTCTGAATACAGTAGAATCTTTCAAAACAGGTTTGGTTTTGTTAAAGAAAAAATTCCTGTCTTCCAGGGGGGTAAAGGTTAAAAAGAGTTTTCTTTATGACTAATATTGGTCTATTGTGCAATGTCCTTTATTATCTAGAGCTCAACGGCTTGATGCCTCTTTCAGACTAGGCAGTTGATTCGACTAGTTCAACGGACGGCTGTCATGGTAGCAAATGATTAGGAATGAACCCCCCCCCCCCAATCAAACGCAGTCAATGTCGGCGCAGTCAGCTTGTTGGCGCAGGCTGGTAGTCACCAATCGCGTTCTCATCTCAACTCAAACGACAACTCAGTATTTTTGACGTGAATTGTGAGGAGTATAGAAACAAAATTACAAGGAGTGAAGCGTCGAGGGAAGTGTGCAGTATTTGTGAGAAAGCACTAATTTCCGATTTTGATTTAAGAAAAATTAAAATGAACCCTCCTTTTTATATATATTATGCAGGGTGGGCGACCAAGACCCGAGGGGTTAAATGCCTGGGTAGACTCGTACCACATTCCTAAAAGGTCCAGGACTTAGTCGGCTCACATGTCCTGCATAAATCTCTTGGTCCTGTTCACAAACCCCAAAATTTTGGACCGTTTAATCTCGAGGAGTTGGTAATGTCCTCTCCTTCACAGATTTCAAATCTAGACCTAACATACTTATCACATTCTGCGAGGTAGTGCCTTGCCTTTTTTTCTTTTATTTCGCAAAAACGGCAAAAGGGATCTGGTAGCATACCCATTACAAAAAGGTGTCTTCTCAGTGGGCACTGGCCCGTCAGCATACCTATCAGCCTCCTAATTCCCTTCCTTGATTTCGATTCTGCTGGTTTGATCGCCTTAACAAACTCTTTCGATTGCCTGTATTCAGGGGATAAATTCCACTCCCTAAGGAATTGTTTCATGCCCCAGTTATTAATACTCTCTTTCGCTGTGCTCATAGAGTGTTAGTCACTGTTCTAGATAGACTAGGTGTATCCTGTTGAAGGAGGGCAAGGAATATTCCATCCACCCCAGCTGTTTTTCTTGAAGGAATGTGCCACTCATTTGTAGGCCTCCCAAGAAATTACCTCATTAGCTTTATCCCAGTTTGGTGTTGGTAGTTCAACCTTTGCTGGAATAGTGGAAGAGTCTGACCTGGGGAAATGAATTCTAGCCATCAGGTTCAGGGTCTCCTTACAGAATGTGGTGTACACCTCATTACCATCCTGTAATAAACCTAAAGTATTAATATAATCTTTTTCCAGAAGTTTAAAAATACGAGAACTTTCCTTAATAGTTTCTGTTTCCAAACAATAGTTCCTCCAGGCTTTACGCTGAGTTTTCCTTAACTCTTTTTTATAATCTTTCTTCATGTAGAAATAATCCCTCCAGTACAGTTCAGAGTTCCACTGTAGGGCTTTTTTATGTAATGCTTTGACCCTTTTCCTTAAACTAGCCAGATCTTTATTCCACGAGTGATGTCGATTCTGACATAGTATTTTTTCAGGACACGCTTCTACATACGCAGAATTTATGACCTGTATAATGTTATTAGCAACCTGCTCCAGCTCTGTAACATTAGTAGGAGTAGTATGCAACCTGTAATATTATTAATAGTATTAATATAGGTTTCCCAATTCATTAGTTTTGGATTCCTAAACCTTATTTTGTTAACTTCTCCTGAGATTTTAAAATCAATGATACAATGATCTGAGGAGATCTTACCTGGTGTCACCTTCCATTCCGTTACCCTTTTTTAAACCGGGATAGTGTGTACGCAGTCCTCTTTATTTCTTTTCTTCTTGCAGAAAAGCAATCACAAGGAGTTCTGCTTCCTCAGATTTTAACATCGTTCTGACTTCCATTTGGGAAGAAAAGTTGATTCCACAAGTTGCCTGGTGTGTAATCTGCCAAGAAAAGTTTTCACAGGCCTGTCAACCGGGCAACTTAGTTGAATCATCGAAGCCAACATGTCTGAAAGAGGCTTATATCTTATCAGATCCTAAAGTTTTGCTAAGGGCTCTCATGCCTATCCTTCAGGTCTTGGCTTTTTCTTGCCCAGATATAAGAACCTCAGCCTACATAGGGCTTTGCACAAACAGAAGATATGTCCTAGTGTTTCTTCGTCTTCCTGACAATATCTGCCCACTCTTGTTTTGGTAGCTCCCCCATAAGCTTCCGGAGTCTGTAGTGTTCACTCAGAAGTTCTTATATCTTCCTAGTCCTAGGATGTCCTATTTTTAATGCTGTTAGTTTCTGCAATGGTCCTTTGATGATTTTTTCACATGCTTGTTTCCTGGAATATAGTCACGTTGAACTGAGGATTTGTTGTCATTTATATGTTAGGATATACTATCTGATAGAATAGTTTTAGCTATAAGTTCCCTCAAATATATAATTCATATTACAGCTATTTTGTTTTATTTTTTAGAAAAATATCCACAGATAAAAAAACTGTTTGGATATGACCCAAAGTTTAAATGGATAGTGACTTTAATGGTTTTAACACAGTTTGTAATGATGTACCTATTGAAAGATCAGTCATGGCCTGTGATATTAATAGCATCTTATTGCTTTGGAGGGGTAATCAATCATTCATTAATGTTAGGTAAGTAATAAATTTTGCTTAATCTAGTTGAATTTTTTTTTGATACAAAGAAAAATTCGAGTTTTATTCTAAGAAAATAATATTTGATGTAAATTCATTGTTTCGTTTTACAGCAATCCACGAAATAGCGCATAATCTTGCTTTTGGACATGCGAGACCAATGGCAAATAGAATGCTCGGCTTGTTTGCAAATCTTCCGATCGGACTTCCATTTTCAGTGACTTTTAAATATTATCACCTTGAACACCATAGGGTAATGATTTTATGATGTAAATTTCTACATTTTTTGCAAAGTTAGTTTGAAAATTTTAAATGGCAGTTCATCATAAAATGAACACCTTAAAAAAGTTAAGCAATGAAAGTGTTGGCCTATAGGGTTCGGATCATGGTATTTTTTCTTGGTGGTTTGGGGGTTATGAACATTTAATTTGGTTGTTGATCATTTTAGTCAGCCTGTTTCCACTTAGTTGTTCCATATTTCAATAAGTCTCAAGTTACTAGCTTTTTGAGTATGAGAATTTTCCTTTAATAAATATTTGACTGTCTTTTTTTCTTTAGACTATTCTGTCATTGTGTTTCCACACCCTCTATGTTTCGGATTTTTTTTTACACAAAATTAGTAAAATAAAACATAAGTGAATGGAATTTGAATGTTTTTACCTTTTAAAGTAATAAATGTATGGCTAACCGATAGAGTATCTATAAAAAAATATTATAAATTTAAAATTGTATATATATTTTGGTTGTTTTCAGTATCAAGGTGATGAAAAATTAGATACAGACATTCCAACATACCTCGAGGCAAAGCTTTTCTGTACAACTTTTGGAAAGTTCATTTGGCTTTGCTTTCAGCCTCTGTTCTATGCTTTTCGCCCAGTTGTCACATACCCGAAACCACCGACTTTGTTAGAAATCGTCAACGTCATTATCCAGTTATCTTTTAACTTTTTTATCTGGCACATGTGTGGTTAGTATTCACAAATTGCATGAATCGAATTGCATTCTATTTGGAGAATTGTTTCAGGCGGGAAGATCCTTTTTTACATGCTGGGCGGTTCTATGATGGCCATGGGGCTACATCCCGTAGCTGGTCATTTTATATCGGAACACTACATGTTCAGAAAAGGATTTGAAACATATTCTTATTATGGATGTCTTAATAAGATAACATTTAATGTTGGCTATCACAACGAACATCACGATTTCCCTGCTGTTCCTGGTTCAAGGTTACCAGAGGTAAATCACAATCACAATGTATACAAAATTTGTTTTTTTTTATGTTAATTATACTTCTAGGTGAAAAAAATAGCCCCTGAGTATTATGATAATTTGCCTCAACACCATTCTTGGACATCAGTATTGTACGATTTCGTTATGGACCCTGATGTAGGGCCCTATGCTAGAATGAAAAGGAAACATCGTGGCCTTAAATCGTAAACAGTATTAATGTAGTTCTACAAATAAATTATTTTGTTAGACATTTAAACTATTCTCTTATGATTACCAAACGTTTCAAGTTTATTCAATGTTATGTCAAATATTTTTATTTGAACTTTTTTTATAAATGTATATTTTAAGATTCAAATATTTTGCTTTGCTCTCGCATTTGTTTTTCAACGCTTCTGTGAACTCTACTGAATCAACATTCATAAATTTTCTAAACTAAAAAAGATACTTTTATTGCAAAGCCACTAACCCTAGTCGTAATGGTACATTCTACTATTATTCTATTAATAAAAGAACTGAAGTTATGAAATTTGTGATCATCTTTTGGAAATAATTATTTATATATTGTGTATTGTATATACTTAAATTATTATGACGAGTCAATAAAAAATATTGTTTTCAATTTCCTATTTACTTTTATCACCCTTTTAATCTTTCCAATGTTATTGCTTTAATTACATAATTAGTAAATAAGATATAATAATATACTATACTGATCCTAAATCAATGAAGGAACCGGATCAGGCGGCATTTTTGTACAAGCCCAAAACGTGGGGTCACACATAGATTTTTTTTTTTTTTTTTTTTTTTTTTTTTTTTTTTTTTTTTTTTTTTTTTAACTGATGTGAGAACTATTTAAAAAAACTCTATTTTGATTTGTGAAACAAATAAAATAATCAATTTAAATTAGGAAAATTCCCATTTAGATTGGATCTAGGGAAGTGAGGACCTGTCTTGCGTACCCATTCAATTTTCCTTACCTGAGATTTAATGAAAATTTTGGCATAAAAGAAAATCTGAATGGATAATTTAAAAATTTAATGTCAAAATAAAATTGTTTTTATATACTTTTAAAAGAAAAGGTTTATTTGTTTTACAGAAAATTAATTTTATTTTTTACTTAAATGTTATTCTAGTTTAGGGTTTATAATACACTTTTGCAAACATCAATTTATTTTAATTGTTTAAGGTTTTATTTATGTAATTAATTAGCACCTCTGATACCTTGTGTTCCCAAAGGAAACAGAGGTTGGGCCCAACCTTATCTCAAAATACTAACCAATGTGACAAAAATAAAATTAGTAGCAGAGCGTGGTTTGTTAGTTGTTTCATCAAAAAATAATATTTAAAAAATTGTAAATATATCAGGCAATATGGTGACATCAGGAGACGACAGTAAACGGGAAAATTAAAAAAAAAAAATATGGAGACCATACGAAGGTCTGAGAAAAGCGAAAAGTAAGCAAAGAAAATTAAAGTCTATAAGATGAGGCAACGACACCATTAGACTGAAATAAATTTCCAAACGAACCCGGAAATCTTTGGCTATCACAAAACTGCCCCATTACGTTGATTCGGGAATAAAAAATATACCTAGACTCCACAATGTATAAATCAAATCTGTTTGTTAACTTAACTAATAAAATTAACGGGATAAATGCAGATCTATTTTTCAGAAGCTTTTAAGCATGTAGCAGCATCACAGAATGACGCATGGCTTCGGTGTTAGCCCGAAAAATTTGAATTTTGATATAGTATTACGTATTTTAATTTATGAATTGACAACACAATTATCGAAAATCGTACTTATTTCTGATAAGATACCAAGGACCCAGCGACAGGACGACACATTTCGTGAATTTTGCAAAATAACAAGATTAGCTCAAATTCTAACAAGATTCACGGAATTATAAATACAACGTTAATTATCTGATTCGCTCTTGGTTTTGGTGAAAAAATTTCAATATCAAATTCAAGTAAATTTAACCATTGCTGTTTGACTAATGTAAAACTTGTAAAATTCGAAGTCATCCATATGACGACTTAAATGTGAATATTTCTAATTACCAATGTGGAATATTATACTATATGTAAGAAAACTTTCAAAATAATTTCTACTCTGAGCCTAATCCTTCCTCTTTACTTTCATTATCTCTGTTCAAATATGAAGCTCCTATTATCGTAATTGTTGTGCCAAACAGTCCGAATCCATAAAAACTGGCCTGGTAGATATGAGACTCAAGTTCGAAGCTAATAAATTGTTCCTGACACCACAGCTTACTGGCTAACAATACATAATAGAATACAATTCTCTCTACTTACCAGAGTCTTTTACACCGAAAACCTTCGAAAAAATTTCAGATTTTTCCTGTGTTTGGCATTTATCTCGTGAATTTTGAGGTTTACGAGATTAATTCTTGCCCCAATCAATTCTGCAGGGTCGTTTCCATAGGAAAATGTCGAAAAAATCTCTTTTCTTCTTTTATCCCGTGAACTATGAGCTTTACGAACTTCATTCTTGCGCCAATATATGCTGCAGAGTCGTTTCCATAGAAAAATTTCAAAAAATATTTTCGGATTTTTTTTAATCTCCTAAAATGTTGCGAGCTTAATTCTTGAGCCAATCAACTCGGTAGGTAAGTTTCCATTAAAAACGCTTACAAATACTTTTTAAAAAAATCAGATTTATTTTACATTATATTTATATACTATCTAACTTGTGTTTTCTTGCATATTTTGATATTTAGGAGCTAAATTCTTATGAAGACCAACTTACTTGATGAAATCCATTACATTTTTGTATACCGAAGTTATTGAAACATTAATTAACAGTTTGTAACAAGCTAATTTTTTCAACAAATGGAATAACTTACAATTAATTAAGGTTTTTAGTTGTGATAAAAAAGTCAATGGCACGAGCGGGATTTGAACCCACGATCTTCGGCTAGATACGCCACTGGTCTACCACTTGAGCTATTGTGACCTTGATCCATTCAGTGGGGTTGAGATGGGAAGTTAGTGTCCGAATGGATCAAGGTCACGATCGCTCAAGTGGTAGAGCAGCGGCGTATCTAGCCAAAGATCGTGGGTTCGAATCCCGCTCGTGCCATTGACTTTTTTATCTTAACTAAAACCCTTAATTAATTTAAGATATTAATTGGTCAAGCGGACCATGAAATTAGAGAATAAAATGGAATACGGTTAATAATATACAACACTAAACATGTTAATATTTATTTGATCTCCAATAATATGGACAAGGTATAAATTGTTTTCTTAGTCATAACTTACAACATCATAGATTCTTCATATCACAAATGTTTTACATACATTTTCTATTAATATTGTAACAAAAAACTAATTGTTTTGTAAATTGTTACTCACTAAATATTTCACAATAAATACTTGAAGTTTGATTATTAGTACATTTTGAGTTATGTGAGAATATTTTGTATTGCTTTTGGCAAGTATCTACATAGGATTGATGTTTAAAATTTATATATATTTGATTACAATACTGTTTCACAGTAATGTTTTAATTCTGATCTATGAGGCTTTGATAATATATCACGTTGAAAGCAAATTTCTAATAAAATGAATATATGGAAGAGACATTTTATCATAAAGGCTTTGTACATAAGATAAATACAAAACAATTTTAATTTAAGAGTGGAGAATAACTTAAATATGCTTGAGCTTATATCACAAATTATCACAATATACAGACATTACGTAAAGAGGAAGCAATTTTGTAAATATAACAAACAGTTTTTGTTACAAAAATTTTTGTTTATAAGTTGAAATAAAATTGTGCTATTTTGTTATTTACAACTGACCTATTTCTCTTTAATTTAACCAACAATATAAGCATACTAGAGATTGTCCATGATGGAAAAAGGATAATACTAAAAGAAAAAGAAACTATAATGAGAATATTAAAAAATAACACTGGTTTGCCTTAACTATCTAAAGTTAAATTGTTTAAATAATAACATACATATTGTTTTTAAATATTAAAAGGCAGTTGACTTAGTTTATATAATATAATAGAAATAAGTAAAAATTTTATAATAGTCTCATGACACATATCACAAATATGTTTATAACTCATCTTTTTTCTATTGCTTAAAAATGGACTGACTAGTATAACCAATTGAGCACTAGGCTACTTGTTTCTTAAAAAAATATAATTATATATATTGTTTTTAACAAGTTTTATGATCATTTAACAGACTGCTATCAAATTTCCAATAAATTGGCGGACAATTCGAAAGTTCGCCGTTATAATTTATTACATTGTTTTTGAGATATTTTGTCAAAGTGATTACAATTTAGAAAATCACAACATTTGGTAACAAAAACAACTTGCCAACAGCAAATATAGTACGAGAAATAACATCTCAGGAAAAAGAACCTTATTGTGTATTTTATTGCAATTAATTAGTCCAAACACCTATATGAGGAAATTAAGAATATTTTACACAACAATATACCCCGTCTTCATCATATTTTTATTTTTTCAATACCACATACCAAAAGGTAGGCATCAACCCTTACAATACTGGTTTGCAGTCTAGCATTTAATCCAACTGAAAGACAGTAGAGATTCCATGCAACTTTTTTAAGTCTTAGTTTTTTGTCTGAATTCAGACTTTGATTTACCACATATACAATTGTATGATATAGTACTGTCATAATAGGTAAATGAAAGCAAAAGATAAGTTAGATCAACAAATTAATTTAAACATGGACGGAACATAAAATGTGATCATAAAGATAAGTCAAGGAATTTATATTTTTGCATGTAGTGTTATTGTCACTAATGGGTGGGTCAATTCATTAGATAATATAATATAAATTAACAAAATAAAATAACAAATATAAAATAATCAAATAAAATTATATCATGCCAAAAAAGAGAATATATTTTAGATAGGATTAACCACCAAAATTTTTACTTTTTTCTCCTCCCCCCCCCCTACAGAAGCAAATATTGCAACCACATCATGGAAGAGAGGAAAGACTTCTGTGGTGTAGCAGGATCAGCTTTGCAAAAGGCCAAACAATACTCCACAAAAAGCAATGCTTCGAAGGTTGGAGGATGCCACAATCCCAAAGTAAATGACCTTTGGTTTGGTGGGCTTTTGGTTTTCATGTCCAGTGATGATTTCCATGGTCTTATAATTTATTTTAAAGTTATGATTTATTCAAATGCAAGAGGAGACAGTACAGAAAACCTCTTTTTTGAGTTGCCCCTGATTGAAGTTGCTTCACTGATCCTCTCACTTCTCCAGACTAAGCTCGCCTATCTGGCCATTCCATCTAAAATACTCTCTGGACAGTCAATAGAGATTCCTGGGTCAATTTTTTTTCTTTTAGAGCACATAGTATGCCTGGCCACCACGTAGCTCAAATATCCCCTGTACATTGAGAGAAACAGCAGCTTACCACACCTAATTTCTAAATAAACTAATTACTAAAGAAAATACATAAAATCACAGATGTAGACTTTATCAATATTAATATCAATAATTAATTATAAATAAATAAATAACTATAAAATCACAGATGTATTCTTCAACAATATTAATATAAATAATTGATAATTAATTAATTATACAAAAAGAACAACAATAACAACCAAATTCATGACTATAAAAAGTCACACAGAAACAACAAAAGAAAATTAATATTAACACAACAATCTAAATGTAATGATAAAATAATCAGAACCTATTATATAAAGGAAACCTTAAGATTGGTAATATTCTTTTTTTAAGTGATTGTGTGAATGAACGAATTGTCTATGAATTGTAAACGACTTTCTAATACAATTAAAAGAAATAATATTAGTTATGGCAATTTGGAAATATTTATGGATGGCGACTATAATGCATTAACGAAATTTCTGATATGCAAATATACCGAAAATATAAGCATTCAAAATAAACCACACAAATCTCATGACTAGAAGCAAACTCTTTGTTGCTGTTTCAAAGACTTTTTAATTGAAATTTGATACAGGGAGGGACAAACAAGAAAAATGGATCATTTCATTTTGCTTTTGATGACTTTTTAATCTTAATCGGTGTAGACTGCGGCAGATTTTCATCCTCAGTTTTCTGCCTTTGAGATACTTCTATTGTAGACATAACACACTGAAAATATTAAAAATATTGCAATATTTCAACACGTTTTCTCATTAAAAAAAAATTTGTAATGTAGTTATAATAATTATGAAAATTGATATTACTTCTTTCAGATTGAGTCTTGGGGATTTTATCTGTTCCGGGTAATGCCAAGGTTTAAAATGTGGGTGATTCATCGCTTTCCACTCTTTATATCCCAAAGTGGCTTTTTGCAAACTTTTTACCATCTACAACATTAAAATTGTTGTAAGACCAAACACTGAAGATAGTGAAATTCTGCAGCATCATTAATAAACTAAATCATTGAAAAATGATTCAGGATGAATAAGCTACAATAAATTTATTCAGACATAAATTCCGTATTTTTTCTACTACTTGGATAATTTCAAATCTTTATTGATTGCCAGAGTTTAACTCCTATCAGTTATCACACTGGTTTTATGTAATTTTACTTTTATTTTGTAAGTGTTAATATAAAAAATAAAATAACAGAAATTCATTATACACTTCAAAATGTTCAATTGATATAATTATAAATATATTTAAGTAATATACAATTTTAACAAAAGCATTCATAAATATTTCAAACAAAATGAGCAACAGTAAAATGATTATCAATCCCAAGATTTGGTTAAGTATTATTTTAGCATATTACAATACAATATAATGTAATGTGTTACCTTGGGGCCAAAGATGTGCGTTACTCTATTGACTAACCAAGGAGGAAGTGTACCCTGTGGATCTGTTTGTGAGATGTAGCCTAAATTGCATCCACCAGTCTGTTTATTGTACCGCAACAAGAACCCTAGGACAAATTGTGATTTTTTCTTTTTTCATCAACTTTAACTTTCAAAGATCTTAGCTATTGGAAAAGTTCAAGTGTTGTTTTATATTGAAACCAAAAATGTAATCATAAAACATTATTTTTAAAGTGATAACGTAAATTTTTCCAATATATGAAAATAAATACAAATTTAATGTGTGAACTTTACTAAACAATAGCAACAAATATTCATTCTCTCCCTCTCTATTAGTGCTCTATATCTATAGTGCTATATAATCGGTATAAATGTTTCTATTTACAAACTTATACAATTAAAAAATTTCCCCACGTTCACGGCGCCGCAATTATACTAAACCAACGCGACAGGTATGTCTTACACTAACTAATGACCTGTGCGCCGTAAAACCTGGTGTCATTCTCACTCCTCACTATATTTATATTGCAATCACACATATGCGAGCTTTGGATAAAAATATTTAATCCGAAAAAAGATTAAAACAAAATTTTATTCTGTTAGTCTTTTCCGGATTGCTTAAGAAAACAACGACAAATTCTCTCTCTCTTTCTCTCTCTCTCTCTAAGTGCTCTATATCTATAGTGCTATGTAATCGGAATAAATGTTTCTATTTACAAACTTATACAATTATTTACAAAAATAAAAAAATTTCCCCACGTTCACGGCGCCGCAATTATACTAAACCAACGCAACATGTATGTCTTACACTACCTAATGACCTGTGCGCCGTAAAACCTAGCGTCGTTCTCACTCCTCACTATATTTATATTGCAATCAAACATATGCGAGCTTTGGATAAAAATATTTAATTCGAAAAACAATTAAAACAAAATCTTATTCTGTTAGTCTTTTCCGGATTGCTTAAGAAAACAACAACAAATTCTCTCTCTCTTTCTCTTGCTCCTCCTTTCTCTCTCTCCTCCTTTCTCTCTCTCGCTCCTTCTCCTTTCACTCTCTCTCTTTCTCTCGCTCCTCCTTTCTCTCTCTCGCTCCTTCTCCTTTCACTCTCTCTCTCTCTCTCTCTCTCTTTCTCTCTCTCTCTCTCTCTCTCTCTCTCTCTCTCTCTCTATTAGTGCTCTATATCTATAGTGCTATATAATCGGAATAAATGTTTCTATTTACAAATATTAATATTTCTATTTACCCTAATCATCCCTCTATTTACAAACTTATACAATTATTTGCAAAAATAAAAAAATTTCCCCACGTTCACGGCGCCGCAATTATACTAAACCAACGCGACAGATATGTCTTACACTAACTAATGACCTGTGCGCCGTAAAACCTAGTGTCATTCTAACTCATTATATTTATATTGCAATCACACAATCTGCGAGCTTTGGGTAAAAATATTTAATCAGAAAAAAGATTAAAACAAAATCTTATTCTTTTAGCCTTTTCCGGATTGCTTAAGAAAACAAAATCTCTTTCTCTCACTCACTCTCTCTCTCTCTCTCTCCTTGATGAAAGCAAAAGTACTTGCTATTGCCAAGCTTTCGTTCATCATCAGGGCAAATCAACCTTAAATATGTCTTGTTACCAGTTTCTCTTTGGGCCGTTGACAATTCCCCCTCCCATCTCCACATACCTGGGGCTCAGTGGGATTTTTTTTCCGTGGCTGCTTCATCTCCAAAAATAAAATTATCACGCACCACACTGTTTTTTTTCCTTTTATGGAAACAGTAAACCCTCGGGGTGAAATAAAAAAAACACAAGAAAGTAAAATATCAAAGTCCTCTGTATTGCGAATAAAATGGAAATAAAACAGTTTTCTTATATAATAAAAAAAAAGGTCAGACAACAAAACTGCATTAAAGAAAATAAAAGTTTGAACTTTGTCCCCTTTCTCTACCTTCTCATTCTAGAGGGGTCCTTCTCTCGCACATGCGAAATCTCTGTTCCACGATAAGAAAATTAAGTCCCAAAAGATTTCAATAACTCTCAAGGAATCCCTTTTTCTCATTTTTTCCACAGCAACCTGTTCAAGCTCGAGCCCCCCCTGTCCTCACCAGCAGAGCCCACTCTTCGCCAATGTCCCTGGTGACCTGGCTGGGCCTCTGCCTTTCAAATACCGCCCTCATGTCTTCATCCTCCTGTGGTCACCCCAGTGCAAATTTTTTTTTTTCTCTTCTCATTCCTCTTCCCTCTTTTGTTACGCCTCCTACCGGCTGGCGGGTATTTTCAAAATTTATCATCTTACAGTCTACAGATGGACATATTTATATTTTTACAGGCAATTTCAAATTTCCTTGAAGACCAACTCAGTCGCAACATTGCCACAGACAGAAATTGTAATAAAATATTTTAACTCCAACCAAATAAAGCAAAACAAATAAGAACAAATTACCTTTCCCTTCTCTCACCCACTCTCTCTCTCTCTCTCACTATCTCTCTATTAGTGCTCTATATCTATAGTGCTATATAATCGGAATAAATGTTTTATATTTACAAACTTATACAATTATTTACAAAAATAAAAATCTATCTATCTATCTATCTTGCTCAGCTCTTTAAACTGGTGATGCAATTTTTTTTAAATAATTACATATTTTTCTTTTATGGATAGTCTTTCTGTTTAAACATAAGTGTTATTTGATGTGAACTGTTATATACAAGTATGTTCAAAATTGAGGAACGAACATGTAATATTAAATGGGTTAAACAAATGCTCTACTCCAATAACAATAAAACGACTTGCTTAAAACCTACTTTAGAAAAGCCAAACCTGTTAAATACGATGTAGCTCTGATAAATCCCTTTTTGGGCGGGTAATTGACATGATATACAGAATGGTTCAATATGTACTTTTCGTCACCAAGATCCAGCCAGGACCTTTGCAAAACAAAATCTCGATTTGCAAGTGGACTTGGACAAGACACTAGAAAAGAACGAAAATTAAATCAATAAAACATTTTTTTTTAAATTGCATAGTTAACATTATGTAATACTGATCATGGAATGCTAAACATGAAAATATCTTTACTAGTTAAACATATATTATCCTATAGGTGAACCAAAGGGAACCATTTCCATTTGAAAATGAACCAACAGACTACTTGATGAATTCCCCCCCCCTGGTTTGCCCTTATAAATAGTAAGTAGACATAAACATACATCATAAAGACACCAGTGAACAAACTAACACATCATATACATTTAAGTTGGGCACTTCAAAAACGTGAACTTTTCTTTCAAAATGTAATTTGATCCTTACCGTGGTCTCCCTAGCCTTGTTAGCTTAGTCTGTCAGATGTGTTTCATCCATTCACCATAGTCAGTGTGACTATCGAAGAAACTTGACAAAATTCACCCAGACCCAACAATGAAAATGGCAAAATGCCAAAGCATGTCTGATAAACCAACCCAAAAAGGAATGACAGGCCAAGATGGTAAGGACCAATTTACATTTCCATCACTCCACAGACAACAGAAGAAAACCTCACGATTCTTTCAATATGTTACATTTTTAAATTCATGGAGTTATTATTATCAACATGATAATCCTGAGGGTCACAGTCTTCTGCACTCACTGAATTATGCCATTATGCCAGGATGCAACCCTAGTTTTTCCAGTCCGCTTCTTAAGGTGTTAGGGATAACATCCGTGGCCAAAGGACTAACTCCACAAGTTATTTATCTCCATTGGGAATCTCAAACAATAGCTCGATGTATTTTCTCAATTTTTCAAGAAGTGTGGAATCTTCCAATTATCTGGCACAGCAACATCAATTATAACATATACACTTTGTAGTTCTTCTTATTGTGCCAGATTATAACTGGCCTATCAGAGCCAAACTAAAATGTATAGCAATAAAAAAAAGTTTTCTATTTGAAAGAAACTTTAAAAGAAAAAAATTTTGTTTAAAGAAATTTCAAGACAAGAAGGAAGTTCCTATAGCTTATGGTGGCCCATAAAATCTTCATCTCTGTAATGTCCAAACTACACAGTTTTACATCTACATGAACACTTTTGTGAGAAACAATGTTCTGACTAATTCAATAGGCAGAAAAGTATTTCTTGAATTTTTCCTGCCAGGAAACTTATCCCAGGAATAGATAATATTTTCAATACAAAATATTAACTAGAAATAAAAAAAGAAGTACGGGGGAAAAATATAAGACATAAATATGTGTAATTGATTAGAAAAAGGAATATAATAAATGGTTTAAAAAAAACTAGCATGACAAGTGGTGTGGGGCAGTTTTGTACCATAAGGTGTGCGATGTGCAGTAACACCTCCACGTATGGTCATCTGACAAGGTTAGGGGGTTCAATTTTTGCAAACTCTGCAAATTGATTATTCAGAAATTGTGAGATGCAGTCTGGTGTGATGTAGGTTTCAGAAAAACATTTTCTTTATCGTGCCAATGTTTCGATCTTTATTGAGATCATCTTCAGGGCCTGGGATTTACAAACATTGGTTAAATTTAACAAAAACATGTAGGAGGTGGAAAAAAGTGAATTTATACAATGCAAAACAATATTTTTTTATATATTCAATCAAAGTATTTCTACTCACTCAGTGTTTGTTTTCTGCGTAATTGTGCCATTCTTGCATGTCGTGTTGAGGGTGCCAGTGAGATTTTGCTGTTTTATGTTTATATAAGTTGGATTTTAAAGAGGTGGGGAAGGAAATCGGTATAGAAAGATATTTTTGTATAAGGAGTTGGCTTTTTGAGGTGAAAAGAGCCGATGATGGGAAAAAACGTTGGTAATGGTTCGGCCAGATTATCCTTTCAGGATTATATAGACAAGGATAAATAGGAAAAGGAAAGCTAAATTGTTCGAAAATTAGACTATGTAAAAATGTTTGATGTGATGAAATATGTATGTTGTCGATATTGAATTTCATTAATGATATTGGCGTAGCTGCGACTGAGTTTGCATGTGTCTGTTCTGTAATTGATGCTGTGTTTATCTCTGTTGATGTAAACCATTTCTAAAAAGTTAGGTTTATGTTTGGTTTGTTCTGTGTGTAATATTTTTGGGTTCTTGAAGTCGAAGATGATCTCAATAAAGATCGAAATGTTGTCACAATAAAGAAAATGTTTTTCTGAAACCTGCATCACACCAGACCACATCTCATGATTAATAATAAAATTTAAAATAATCATCGACTAACAGTCACTAATCACTACACAAAAACTCTGCAAATTTTAAGACAAAAACATGCTCTGGGGTACAAACTACCCTGGAATGTTTTAAAATTTTACAAGGGAAATTAAAATTAAGCGACTTACTGGAATAGTAGCCAACATCATTATTTGGGTTTAAATACCCGATATCATGGGACTCGATCATGTGTTGATCCCATACTTTCCTGTATTCGGGATCATGAAGGACATCATACATCACATCAGTCGATATGTCATCAAATGAAGCTAAGACCTGGAAAACAATCCTTATCGATCTTTCATTTAAAAAGTAAAATGACAAAATACCTTTATCATTTTAAAATTTGTATTATGTAGTGTTTTAGTCCAAACTTTAATTGGTCCCTTATGGTAGTCCAACTTCCATTCGGCATGGTGGTCCAGGAGTTCTTTCAGATTTGTAAAGTCTCGATCTTCAGCGACCCTCACAACCCCGACTTCCATTAGGGGCGTTCCTATTTCTCAATACTAGTCCCAATGCAACATATTTTTTAATTTTTGTTTGTATGATTAATATAACTATATTGTCCTCGGTTTTTAACTGTTACACTTCCATGTCGTATTCCTAACTCTCGACCCTAGGATTACAGTCCATTTATTATATTAAGAGTTTTAACTGAAGTCTAATTTTTTAAACATTCTCACAATCCAGAAGTTGATTTCTTATAATTGATAATTTCTTCTAAGAACCAGGTGAGAAAAAGGCTCAGGAAAAATGACTACTTACTCTCACGGCCCATGTGACAAAGGCCTACTTTTCATTCTTTTATTCTTTTGATTTATTCCAAAACAAAAAGACTACATGCCAATCCGTTTTGACACTTATATCAGCCGGAGGTTTTTCCGTTGCAGGTTATCCATCGAACCTTATCGTAAATCGTCATATCGTAGTTAGCTTGAGGTAATAAAGCATTTCGGTTCCTTAGTAAAAAAAAAATACTGGCTTTTTTTCGATAAGGATTTATCGCATTATGAACTGGCGAAATGTATTCAAAGATAAGATACAATCGAAAGATTAACTTCTCTTCCTTTTCATCTTTTACTGTACAATTGTCCCGATAATCAAGGTGAGTTATTCTACGCTGTATGATTTGACCAAGAAAACTTAGCTCGTTACCCCAAGATCTCTATATTTTTTAGAGTCGATCTCATAAATTTCCCCATATGCATATTAATTTAACAATAATTTCATGTCTCGATAAAACACCAAGGTCTAACATTACATAATAAACCGAAAATGCTAGAGAAAATTTTGACTTTGGAAGTCTCTAAGATAGTTCAAAAGCAAAACGTATTAACTAGCATGATTAATCATTAAGTAATCGTTATCTTAATCTATATATGTCAATTCCATGATTGACTGACTAAGAGACAATGCACAGGCTGAACCGCAGGATCTAAAGGGCTGAAAATTTGACAATGCATCCTATATTGACAGCCGCTAAGAAAGAATTTTTTGAAATTTCATCCCTATCTTTTATATGAACAGTTCCATGACTGTCTGACAGACGATGTACAGACTGAACCGCAGGATCTAAAGGGCTGAAAATTTGACAGTGCATCCTATATTGACAGCCGCTAAGAAAGAATTTTTTGAAATTCCATCCCTTTCTTTTATATAAGCAGTAACATGACTGACTGACAGATAATGTACAGACTGAACCGCAGGATTTAAAGGGCTGAAAATTTGACAGTGCTTTCCTATATTGACAGCCACTAAGAAAGGATTTTTTTAAAATTCCATCTCTATCGTTTATATGAACAGTTCCATGACTGACTGACAGACAATGTAAAGACTGAACCGCAGGATCTAAAGGGCTGAAATTTTGCCAGTGCATTCCTATATTGACAGCCGCTAAGAAAGAATTTTTTGAAATTCCATCCCTTTCTTTTATATAAACAGTAACATGACTGACTGACAGACAATGTAAAGACAGAACCACAGGATCTAAAGGGCTGAAATTTTGAGTGTATTTCTATAATGACAGCCGCTAAGAAAGAATTTTTTGAAATTTTCTTTTATATAAACAGTAACATGACTGACTGACAGACGATGTAAAGACTGAACCGCAGGATCTAAAGGGCTGAAATTTTGAGTGCATTCCTATAATGACAGCCGCTAAGAAAGAATTTTTTGAAATTCCATCCCTTTCTTTTATATAAACAGTAACATGACTGACTGACAGACAATGTAAAGACAGAACCACAGGATCTAAAGGGCTGAAATTTTGAGTGTATTTCTATAATGACAGCCGCTAAGAAAGAATTTTTTGAAATTTCATCCCTTTCTTTTATATAAGCAGTAACATGACTGACTGACAGACAATGTAAAGATATAACCGCAGGATCTAAAGGGCTGAAATTTTGAGTGCATTCCTATAATGACAGTCGCTAAGAAAGAATTTTTTGAAATTCCATCCCTTTCTTTTATATAAACAGTAACATGACTGACTGACAGACAATGTACAGACTGAACCGCTGGATCTAAAGGGCTGAAATTTTGACAGTGCATTCCTATATTGACAGCCGCAAAGAAAGGATTTTTTTGAAATTCCATCCCTAAGGGGACAGTTTGTTACAATGAAAAATCATTGAATAGTAGTGTCTTCGCCATGAAATACCTGAATTTATTTGTTGGGACTCAGGTTATTCCAATCCTCAAAGCATTTGATGCCATTTTTCAATATCTCTTAATAATTACTGTCGGTATCTTACTTTCTCGGCATTTCAAGACAGGCTTATTGTCATCGCTCCATTAATTTAAATTATTGCCTGTTAAAATCTTTATTTTATTTCATCGCTTTTTCATGATTCAGTGTATTTTATTAAAGTGTCAAATGAACATATGTGTATTAAATTGTCATGATATTAATTTAGTTTTTGAAGGTTCTAATTCTAGAATAATGACAAACGGATGTTGTTTTTTTTTCTAATCTTTGGGTAAATTTAGCATTAATGTTAATATACAAATAGATACGAGCTATGTGCATTTTTATGAACAGGAAAAAACTTAAAACTAAGGCTTATATAATTTGTTACCAATATTGGCTTTTGCATGTTAATTACTGTCCGTATCTTACTTTCTCGGCATTTCAAGTCAGGCTTATTATCATCGCTCTATTAATTTAAATTATTGCCTGTTAAAATCTTTATTTTATTTCATCACTTTTTCATGATTCAGTGAATTTTATTAAAGTGTATGTAAACGATATGTGTATTAAATTTTCATTATATTAATTTAGTTTTTGAAGGTCATAATTCTGGAATAATCAGTTTTTTTGGTTTTTTTTTAAATATTTGGGTAAATTTAGCATTAATATTAATATGCAAATAGATATGAGATATGTGCATTTTTATGAAAAGGAAAAAACTTAACACTAAAATTTCAATAAATATTTAACAAATTTATTTATTTTATTTGTAACATATTATTTATTCAATATTTATTTGTTAGTTGTAACAACACCATAAATGTAATCTTATAGGCTTATATAATTTATTACCAATATTGGCTTTTGCATGTTAACACCTCTTCAGTTTACTCCAAATCTATAAAGCAATGGATTGAAAATAAGATGTGGCATTTCAATTTTTGTATGCAAACAATACTGTGCAATTTATAATGCATATCTTTTTGTATTGTAATTTTAATTTTAATGAAATTTATGAGCCCAAGCCGCATAATTTAAGAAAACCCCTATTTAATCGCATAAAACTTGATAATCGAGATCAATGCAAGTGATGATTTTCCTACTGAACAAAACATCACAATATTTCACACGAAATAATATTAATTAGTATTTTGCTATTGCAGAATAATATAACTAATTTATCAGGTGAAGGAAAATGAATAGAATGAAATACATTCTGAGAATCGTATTACTTTCTAAGATTATATCTACATGAGGAAAACTGCATTTTACTTGATATTTTGTTAAATTTGGAAATTTCAACCAAATATAGGGAGTTTTTCTTTTTTCAAGAAAATAAAGTTTATCTGATATACAAATTTCACAGAAGTTTACTATTTTTTTTTTACTTTAGATGGATATTAATTAATGTCCGGCAAATATTTTTCAACGATACACTTGCTAAAGTATGAAAAGTCAGCATGAAGTATAATTTGGATATAGCAGCTGTCCTTTTTAAAAGTACTTTGGACTTGATCTCAGATGTCATGTTCCAACAAATTCTTTAGTGTCCACCAACGACCGTTATTTTAAAAAAATATTTATTTTTTATCATTTCTGCGGCACAAAAAAGGTTGGGATAATGACAATAGTAATGAACACGGGATGAGTGGTAGGTCCCATTCACTCTACTCGGCTAAACTCATAAATTCATTATGGTTGAAGCCATAATTTTCAATATTTTAAGTAGATGTTTATATTTCTTGGTAGCGTAAATAGATATTAGTATTTCTTAGTGTAAATTAAAAGACCATAAAGACCTGGAAATCACCTACTCTAAGAACCTGACATTTAACTTGTATTGCACCTCAATTTTAATATGACAAATCAAATTCAAGGGCCATTGTTTCCCAGGGGTGCACTGCTGGGAAGCAGGGTTGGGGTTTTGCCCCCTCTCCATACATTGCCTTTAATTTACAAAAAAAGAAAAGATTTTTCAATATAATGAAGAGTTACAGTTAATTAAGGTTTTTAGTCGAGATAAAAAAGTCAGTGGCATGAGCGGGATTCGAACCCCACGATCTTCGGCCAGATATGCCGCTGCTCTACTACTTGAGCTATCATGAGTGGATCTAAGTTGTGGGTATAACGACTTAGATCCACATCTTTCACAGAGATTATTAATCGAACACTTTTACCATTTATTTTATATTTCAATTCCTCCCCATTAATTTGTAGGGTGCTTATTGTTTCATTAAAATTAATTTTCTTATAAAATTCCATCATTAACTGAGTATCTAAATTTTTCAAAGTAATTTGATTGGTTTTGAAGTGTTCTAAAATCCATACTTTTGTCCATTTAAATAACTAAATTTCCAGTAAAATTTTCTTGCTTTGCCGAGCCCACTGATAAGTCCTCGTCTTCTCCTGTTTTTTTTTTGTTTTTTTCACAATTCATTTCACACATTTCATCAAATTCAGCAGCTATCATAGTATGTTTTTTAATTGATTTAATTACATATACTTTTTAGTACTTATCACATTATGCATCAACACTATCTAGTTTTTAACACATTTAGGGTACTTGCTGATTATCGTACCACCACTTATGCAGTTATTCACACATACCTTTAATTTACTAATTTTACAGGTAAAATTGGTTAAGTCAAGTCGTACTAGAAGACTATAATTTACAGGTGCAATGACAGCACTAATTCACATCTTGCTAACAAAACAAATGCAAAACAAGTAGGTAAAAACAAAACTCTTTATCACATCTATGACAAACATTCATTAGGTCATAGGTAAACACACTTATTCTATTTCAGTATTTGAATTGTTTGAGTTTACAATTAGATAAGTAGAATTGTCTAAATGTTGATGTAGCTTTTCAAGGCGTCCAAAAAGGCACATTTCTTGTAAAAGGCCATGGTTTTCTCCTCAACTTAATCAATGGTACAGACGGTCAACCCTAAGTCATACTGAAAGGTACTTTGAAATCCATTTTGCCAAAATTTGACTTATCCAGTTTTGCCTCGAGTGTGCAGAATTGTCCTATTGAATTTAATTTGCCCAGATATTTTTTTTGAACTGAGTTTTTAGAATGTTGAATTTTGTGTCATAATACTGTATCAAAATGTGCTTGAGTGTAACTAGTCTTGCTTTGTCTAAGATCGGTTATTGGTAAGATTCCGATGTTGTTGGTCACACCTTTTATCGTGAATGTATATTTGGAAGCTAAATTGTGAGGGTCAAGTCTTTCTACATCAACCATTTCCAGTATTAATCAGATAAGTTTATTCAGTTTGGTCTTACAGTGACATTTTTCAATCATCGCTCTTTTTCTTAATGGATTATGTAATTTTTGCTCTTTAGCACATTTGATCTTTACTGTTGTTTACCAAGATTAGCACTACAGTTTATTACAGTCTAATAAAACCCAATTTACAGCTGTACTCAACATCAAAGCAATTGGGTTATTTTGGTACAACTGACAGTAAAGCCTCTGTAAGAAGATTTCCATTACAACAAACGTTGTTTTACTTTTTAAAATAAAAAATAAAAAAGTTATAGCAATATATTTTGTTAAATTAATATGTGTGGAAGTTATTTTTTTTCTATGTATGGCATAAACTTTTGGAAATGTATTTGATAAATTTTTAAGAAGGAAATATATTAAACAATTTAAATTTGCTTAAATGTGAAACAGTATTTAAATTTTAATTTTTGAAATACAACCGAGTGTCAAAATTATAGACACATTAAAAAATCACGATTTCAACAGTCAAAAATGATTTCTTTTGCCATTAGAATATTGTTCATGGTATTAAAAGAAAATTAACTCTGGAAATGGCTTGATCTGATAATCTTATACAAGTGTACATCTCAATAAACAGTATTGTTTTGATTTAGCTGCGACAGAATTATAGACACATATTTTGTTTATGTTTATTTTATAAATCCAAAGGTTTATTCAGTATTCACTGTACTGTGCCTTAGTAAAGTGATTACTGTGAGTTCATTTGGAGCAATTCAAAGTTATTTTAAAATGCCCGAAGGAAGAAGATTTTCTGATGAGGAGCGCCGGTTGATTCACTTGCTCAATGAAGATGGAATGAGTTGCCGAGATATCGCCCGATGCATAAAACGAAGTTTTTCATCAGTATCGGAGACAATATGACTAGGTGAAGACTACGGGAGAGGGCATAGCTCTGGAAGACCTCCTTCCTTGACCAGAAGAGACAAATTGCACATCCTGCGCGTTGCTTCAAATAGCTTTTCAACTGCAAAAGCCATCGCAGAGAAGGCAGGTGTTGATGTTTCTGTTCAAACTGTTCAGCGATTCCTTAAAAAAAAACTGAAACGCAAACCAGCTCTGAAACCCCACCATTTTTTTTTAATTTATTTATTTATTTTTTTATTGGCCTTATGATCTTGCATATTAGCCATAGTACGAATTCTTGTGTGTTCAAATTGGGGGTTATCGGGAAAAAAGGGCCAGAGGCGACAGTGGGAATCGAACCCACGACCGCGGCGTGAGAGTCTCTCATGCTAACCACTCGGCTACCGCAGTCCCCCAAACCCCACCATAAACTAGCCCATCAAATTTGGTGAAAACCACATTTTGAAAAATGAAGATTATTGGTGAAAAGTTATTTTTTCTGACGAAAAAAAAATTCAATTTGGACCGCCCGGACGGATACAGATGCTACCTTCATGATCTTACTATATAAGAAAAAATTTTGTCACGGCGCCAAATGGGTGGTGGATNGGTTGTACTCATAAAACAATTTCACACCTTGTGCCTGAATTTTATTCTTGAACTTTGCAACAAAGCTTCTAATCACATAATAATCCCAAAGTTTCACTTTTGAGCTATATTTTTATTTTATTTATTGTTTTGCCAAGATTTGTACTACAATAAAAAAATTTACTATTATTGTTTTTTTCTTAGTTAAAAACATTTTATTCAATTGAATAAAAATATAAAACTATGGCATCATTCACTGGTGATTGTAAACTAGATGAAAAAATTTCACAATGGGTAAAATGGAACAAGGTAATGTATTTATAATATTGACATTTAAGGTTGAAGTACTTTAATTGAATTTTCCTTCCAGAATGAAATGTTTCAAAAGGAACTTGATAAAATTATAGAAGCCAAAGATGTGGTAACATTAAAGAAATTATTCCTGAAAAGGCTTGAATTTGGGACTGCTGGATTGAGAGGTCGCATGGGGCCTGGTTATTCTCAAATGAATGACCTTGTTGTAATTCAGACAGCACAAGGGTTGTTAAAATATTTGATCAAAAACCAATCTGACTTTACTGAAAAAGGGATTGTTATAGGCTACGATGGCCGATATAACAGTAAAAGGTATTACTACCCGAAAAAAATTATACTAGATGATTCTCTGATAGTATGCTGATTTTACAGATTTGCAAACCTAACCGCAACAGTATTTTTAAATTATGGGGCACCAGTATATTTATTTTCTAAAGTCTGCCCAACTCCATTTGTACCATTTTCAATCACAAAGTTTCATACTGCTGCTGGTGTAATGGTGACAGCATCTCACAATCCAAAAGATGACAATGGTTACAAAGTGTATTGGAGCAATGGTGCCCAAGTCAGTATAATTGGCCTCCTTTCTTTAAAACTTTACAATAAAAAAAATTAATTATAGATAATAACGCCTCATGATAAAGGCATAGCAAGCAGTATCGAAGAAAACCTGGAGCCTGACAATGCCTCTTGGGATACCAGCGTTATGGATAACTGTGATAAACTAATTGACCCTTTAAATGATATTATGAAGGATTATTATGACAAAATGAAATCTAATCTAATAAATAGCAGTTTGAACAATGTGGCACCTTTCCGTATAACTTATACTGCTATGCATGGTGTTGGTTACCCATACATTGTTGAAGCATTTAAACAAGCCAACTTTAAGGTATTTATACAATTCCATCAAATATTATGGTTAAATGTAATATTTACAACTGAAATTAAACAAAAAAAATCAATTTTGAGTTTTGATTCTTATTATCTTAAAATATACTTTTCTTTTTTTTAGGACGTGATACCAGTGAAGGAACAAGTTGAACCAGACCCTGAATTCTCAACAGTCGAATTTCCAAATCCTGAAGAAGGAAAGAGTTCACTTAAGTTGGCTATGTCAACAGCTGATGCCAATGATAGTAAATTGATTCTAGCGAATGATCCCGATGCGGATCGGCTTGCAGTGGCGGAAAAATTAAGGTAAGTTTTGTTTCAATGAAATTTCTACTTGAAAATATTATTGTAATAAAAGTTGATTTAAGCGATGGCACTTGGAAAGTTTTTACTGGAAATGAAATCGGTGCAATGTTGGGCTGGTGGTTAATGTACACTTATAAAATTGGAAGACCTCATTTTAATTACAGAAATGTATATACACTTTCAAGTACGGTGTCAAGCAAAATTGTAAAAACTATTGCCTTGGCGGAAGGCTTCAGTTTTGAGGTCAGTTTTTTTTAATCCCCGTTTATTCCACCTTATTTTATGTCAATTATTTTAGGAGACACTCACAGGTTTTAAATGGATGGGTAACAGGAGTTACGACTTGATGAAAAAGGGAAAACTGGTTTTATTTGCTTTTGAAGAGGCAATTGGATTTATGTGTGGGAGTTCAGTTTTAGATAAAGATGGCATCTCAGCAGCAGTTCATGTCGCTGAATTGGCCGCTTACTTGTATACCAAAAATAGTACACTTAATGCACAGTTAGAAGAAATTTATTCAAGGTGCGTATAACTGGAAACTAATTGTAATTCAATAATAATTTATATTTTATTTTCTAGATATGGGTACCACATTTCTGATGATTCATACTTTCACTGTTATGAACCAGATGTATTGAAATCTATATTTGACTCATTAAGAAATTACAAAGGAGAAAAATCCAGGGTAAAAGAAAATATTTATTATAGTAGGTTTACAGGAAAGTTTAATTTCAGTATTTACAGTATCCTGAAAGTTTATTAGATGGAAAATATAAAATAGTTTCTATCAGAGATCTCACGACTGGTTATGATTCATCTCAACCAGATAAAAGGGCTAAACTCCCAGTATCCTCAAGTACGCAGATGATTACATTCAATTTTGACAATGGCCTAGTTTTAACATTAAGAACTAGTGGAACTGAGCCCAAATTGAAATATTACGCTGAACTTTGTGCTTCCTCGACTATACAGTAATATAAAATTTGATTCGGATTGTATTAACTAATGTGTAAATTTTAATAAATATACTTGTTTCAGGGATAAAGATGCTTTGAAAAGCACACTTAAAGAAATGGTCAACTGTGTAATTAAAGAATTCTTGCAACCAGACAAAAATAATTTGAAGTATAAAACTACTTAAAATGTCTGACCTTAGGTTCAATTGTAATTTCACAATGTCTATACAATGTGAAGTAGATCCAATTAGCAGCAATATTTTTGTAAAAGTAGTTAAATATCTAATTCCTGCCCAAATATGTATAATGTAAAATATATAGTTATAAATATAGATATAAATATATAAACTTAGATTAATAAAATGAAACAACTTTTAATTTCTGAACCGATTTTCAGTTTTCCTCCCCCTTTCCTCTGATATCAAGTAGACAGCTCGATCAGTTTTCTTACTTCCAAAGTTTTTATGTTAGTTTTGAACTAAACTAAATGGGAACCAGTTAAAATGTATGAGATATACTCCACTTTTCCTATTATATCTTGTAGATAGCTCAAGTTAGTAGTAAGTTTTCTTACTTTCTACATTTTTACATTAGTTTTAAACTAAATTTAGTCAAAAAACATTTGCCTGGTTCAAGAAAACTAAAAAAAAAAAAAATTATATTGGACATATTATAACAGGATATTACACTTTAATTTAAACAAAAATTATTTGGTTTCAATAATAATATATTTTAAATAGACAAAATTGGTGTTTGCAAAACATTGCTGTGCATAGTGCAAGAGAAGACTTATCACTCCGATTTTAGTAGGAGTGAGTTTGCCATTCTTGGGTTGTTTTAGTATAAATTTACTGTCTAGTTGAATTTATCCACTTTTTTTTTTTTTTTTTTGATCCATGCTGTGAAGTAGGATTCCGGGTTTGTTTTTGTTATTGCAAGAACAGGTTCAGATCATCCCCTTCTTAGCGTTTCTGCTTTTACGTTATTATCAAGTTATTATTTTTCCCCACGTTTTGGAGATTTTAGATGTATTCACTGACTAGTGTGTGGTGATTAGTGACCGTTATTCAATGATTATTCAGAAATCATGAGATGCGTGCCATTCTTGCGTGTCACTCTACAAGTGGGCACTTTCAACACGACACGCAAGAATGGCACATTTACGCAGAAAACAATCACTTTGAGCCCTGAAATGATCTCAATAAAGATCGAAATGGCACGATAAAGAAAATGTTTTTCTAAAACCTACATCACACCAGACCGCATCTCACGATTTCTGAATAATCACTGACTAGTTTTGATGTAATTTTTTCACATGCTAGGTAATGCTTTAAAGCTAGGCACATACATGCAATTTTTAGTTACCAAACAGTTTTGTTCGTTATATATTAAACTGCGCACATCTGTGCAACTAAATAGTTTGGCTGTGGGTTGTGAGAACACAATCAACTAATATATTTCAGCGAAATCATGGACTTTGTTGAGTTAGTTAGTGTGTACTCTCAAGTTGAGAAGGAAAAAATGAAATGATATTGGGTGCATCCTCTCTGACATTTGATAAAAGGGCAATTTTATAAATTGCTTACACATTTACGACTACCCATAATTTTTTTTTAATGATTATCAAATGAGTGTCAAGTTCTTCTGTGTTTGATACAGCCAAACATCACCTACCAAGATAAATGAATTTTCTTGCAAATCTGCTGAAGGTGTAATGACTGAGTTCATAACTTACAAAGGAAATGATAGTGGTTTAGTTGAAGTGACCGCTGTCGCCACTGTGGGATACAAGTGAGTTGCATACATTTGCCAACCGTTGTTACAAAACGGTGGTCAGATTTGCATTTACAGGTTAGTTGCATGCTTTCATACAAACTCTTTGCAATCAATCCCAGGAACAACTGTTGCGCAATTAAAAATTGCATGTATGCACCTAGTCTTACAGAGTTTAAATGTTTTTTTATTTTAAGTTTAATAAAATTCAATTCACTAGTTTTGTGGTCCTCTTGACCAATTAATATCTTACAATTAATTAAGGTTTTCATTTGAGATAAAAAAGTCAATGGCACGAGCGGGATTCGAACCCACGATCTTTGTCTAGATATGCCGCTGCTCTACCACTTGAGCTATCATGACCTCGATCCACTCGGACACTAACTTCCCATCTCAACCCCATCTTTTGAATTTTCCCTCCTTTTTGCCATTTTTCAAATGTCGTGTAATCAATTTGATTCGGCGAGAAATGAAATGGCCACAGAGAACATTAGGGAAGGTAAACTTCATTTTAAACTTATTAAATTCATAATTTATTAAACTTTTATCTCAACTGAAAACCTTAATTAATTGTAAGATATTAATTGGTCAAGCAGACCACAAAACTAGTGAATTTAATAAGTTTAAAATGAAGTATACCTTCACTAAAGCTCTTTTGGCCATTTCATTTGTCGCCGAGAATCAAAGACATTTTAAAAATGGCAAAAAGGAGGGACAATTCAAAAGTTTGGGTTAAGATGAGAAGTTAGTGTCGAGTGGATCGAGGTCATGATAGCTCAAGTGGTAGAGCAGCGGCGTATCTAGACGAAGATCGTGGGTTCGAATCCCGCTCGTGGCATTGACTTTTTTATCTCAAATGAAAACCTTAATTAATTGTTTAATAAAATGTTTTTTTTTTTTAATATTAATTTTAGGAATAGTAGAAATAAAACAAAAGAAAATCATCAACAATGACAATAACATTTATTATTTCTTTGGTACTTATCAGATTATAACTATGTGTTGAGGCACTTGCTATTAGAATCCAAATATATATTTGTATGTTCTAAGTTCTATTGCTTATACATTACTTAGATAACCTTTATTTGTTAAGAATATCATTTTTTCAATTAAATTATTTTAAAAAGAATACAATGAATATTTTACAAAACACTTTGGGCCCTTAAACAGTATGATTATTTTAAAATTAAGTAAGACCATCCTTGAAACAGGTTTAAAAAGTTTTCTTTGGTTTAACTTAGGCAATATTGTTTAAAAATCCAAAATTTCTGTGTAGAAATAATAATTATCACTCTTGATGGCATCACTTTGAGCATTTAGGCAATTCAAAAATTTATGTCTATTAAAAATATAATTAATTTATAAGGTAAATATGATTTTATTAAGGCATCATTTCTGAGTAACCTTCAAATATCAAAGGTACTTAAACAGAAAAAAAGACTAATCGTATGTTGATTTACTTATCTAATTATGTACATTATTATAACATCTAGAAAATTTTACAAATAAAACATAACAATAAAAATTAATATTAACAACACAGAATAACATATCTAAATGGCTATTTCACTGTAACAGTTTGAGAATTATTTGTACAAAAACAAAACACATCTAGCCAAATCTAATCTTATACGTAAATACACAAACAATAAATAAAATAAGGAAATAAGCTTAAATCTAGTACTGCTTACAGACATTGTCATCTTCCTGTACTCATGGAGGAAACAGGCACATGCAGATCTTTTGCTTGAAGCAATCGTTTCTAATTCCAGTAACGATCAGGTGATATGTTTCAATGATCTCATAGCTTTAATCTAAAATAGAGGACGGAATGTTTTACAGTGAATTAGGCAGAGCTGAGTGTGACAATGATTGATACTTGTGTTCTAAGCTCATTAGCATTTGGACTAAATTCCTATTTTCAGAACACAAATCCTTCACAAGTGCATCTGCAGCATTTAACTTCTCAAGCTGAAAAACAACAACAGATAAAAATACGAACCCCATTTTTCTTTTAATTACAGTATTAATTGATTGTTTTCTTATATAAAATCCAAGCTACTAAATACACAAATAGAATTAATGTGTGGTGTTTAGTGACCATTAGTTAATGATTATTTGGAGATCGTGAGATGCGATCTTGTGGTGTGACGTAGGTTTTGGAAAAACATTTTCTTTATCGTGCCAACGTTTCGATCTTTATTGAGATCATCTTCAGGGCTCAATAAAGATCAAAACGTTGGCACAATAAAGAAAATGTTTTTCTAAAACCTATGTTATGCCAGACCGCATCTAACAATCTCCAAACAATAGTGTTAATGTAATTTTTAATTTTTACCTGCTGTCTCGTATTTCTCTTTTGTTGCTGAAGCTTTTCTTGAGTGACTACAAGTGAGTTTTGAATTGTGGTCAGATCCAATTTATGTCTTTCCCAAGCACCTGTAGATTTGAAAATTTAATTTTCTAAACAATTCTTTTTAACATCATTCTGGGTATTACGTTGTAAAATTTCTTCCGTCTGTTTCTGCTGTTGTTTAAGAGCAGACTGTAGGTCAGTGCATCTCATTTCCTGCTGCCTCAATCGGTTTGATAGTGAATGAAATATCTGCATGTTGTCCATCCTAGGGCTGGCAAGCTAAAAATGTCAAATGGTCGTCATAAGCACAAATATTAAATAGTGTTTTTTTTCCTTCAAAACAAATAAAACAACTTAATTCACCAATTTTTGTGGTCTGCTTGACCAATTAATATCAATTAATTAAGGTTTTTAGTTGAGATAAAAAAGTCAGCGTCACGAGCGGGATTCGAACCCACGATCTTCGGCTAGATACGCCGCTACTCTACCACTTGAGCTATCGTGTCTTCAATCCACTCGGACACGTGGAGGAAAATTCAAAAGTTGGAGTTGAGATTGGAAGTCAGTGTCCGAGAGGATCAAAGTCACGATAGCTCAAGTGGTAGAGCAGCGGCGTATCTAGCCGAAGGTCGTGGGTTCAAATCCCGCTCGTGACTCTGACTTTTTTTATCTCAACTAAAAGCCTTAATTAATTGAAAAATAAAACAACTTTGAAAATGTTTACAATTAATATAAAGACTATTTCGATTAAAAAATGGACAAAAAATTCCAAATAGAAATTATGAAGGTGTAGATTCACTTTTGTCAAAATTAAAATGAACCTGATAATATTTTAACAAAGCCATATTTAAAACTGATTAAACTAAACAAAAATTAAGAAGAAATAATACTATAAACATGATACATACAACAAACAATAAACAATATAATTTGTATGCAAGCAAAAAGAACAATTCATGTTTATCACAAAAGCTTTTTCAAAAGTATTTCAAATGTAGAAACAAAAATGTAAAAACAGAAAAAAATATATTTAAAAAAATTGTAACAACACAAAACAAGATACAATAGCAATGGACATGGACATTATATTCAAATAGGACATGAACATGCAGAACAAACAAAACTAAGGTGTGCCTTTTGGGAAAGCTGGTGAGCTACCTGTGAATTTGCTTGGAGACTTGCTATTTGATTCAATAACATTCTCTTTCTATGACAAAGATCTTCTATTTCTGATCTAAGTCTTTCTTTTGCTTTGCCTCTTGCACACCAACAGAGTTCAGTTTGTGACCACTATGTAATATCAAAATAATTAAGGTAAATCGAAATTTAATGTATCAAGCAGAAGTATTTTTACCTTCGGTGCACTAGAAGATTGCCTGATTTTTGACCCATGTTTTGACAGCTCACCAAAATTAGTTTGTACACTTTCATCTCTTACTGAAATTAGAAGTTTCAAATAATTTAAAAATTAATATAATAAATAAGCATCAAAAATAGCAAATACTGACCAGATTGTTGCAATCTACAGACATTTTCCAATGCGAGTTCCAGTTTTTGGATTTTTTCATCCTTAAAAATCAACTGTTCTTCTGTTTCACTTTTATAACATTTATATTCTTCTTCCAAGTCTGTAAACTGTAATTGAAAATACAATTTAATGAAATGATGTAAGTTTTTATAATATACATACTTGTTTTTCTAGGAACTCATTTTCTTCAATAGGTGGTAAAGTCGGTTTTTTGAATTGTTCAGAAGCTAACAGTTCTGCATATTCTTGAATTTTGGTCTCAAGATCAGCGAATTTTTCATCACTTTGTCTTTGATCCTATCAAAAAAAATTGGGCACATTACAACCTTAAAATGTCTATTAATTTATTTAAATTTACTTTTTCGTAAAGTTTCCTTTCTTCTTCCAGTTTTTTCTGCCAGTAATCTTCAGTCTCTTCATATTCATCTTTCATTAACTGAAGACTGTTTTCTAATTCTTGGCACATCTGTGTAAGTCTTTTATTCTCCTCTTTAAGTGTGTTGACAAATTCCGAATTATTACTATTTTTACATTTAAGGCACTCCACGTCCCTGTTTTCTTTCTCTGAAGTTGGGGTTAAGGCAATTGTAAGGCACTCTGAACCCTCTTCGATGTTACAATTATTAATGAACATGTCTTTAGGCTGGTTCGGCAGGAGTTTTAAAGAAGCTTTCAAAATGTTGTTATCACAGTCTTCTGGTTTGAGGTTGTTCTTCATCAATGTCTGCAAGGTCTGCTTTAAAACACAATTCTCCTCAGAGCACGCTCTTCTCTCCGAAAGAATTTTTATTATTTTGTCTCTCACTCTTTCAAGTTCATTTTCAAGTTCATGGCAGTGTTTCTCAAGGTAGCCCAAAGGGGATTCGGTTTGAACACCTGTGTCGACATGGGCATTGAGTCGTCCCAGGGAATTTTCACAATTCACAGGTAACATTGCATCATAAGAATTCTCACAGCTTGTGTACGTCATCTAAATCAAACAAATTTTCAATTTTCAACATACAAAAATCAAAGCCACATAACAATTATGATCATGAGGTAAAATACTATAACTGTTAAATATTCACCTGGGTGGAGTTTGCCGATAATAAAGTGTTAATTGAATCTCCATCTCTTGAATTGGATTTACATAACCACTCCTGTCAAAAAATACAGATGTTATTTCAATTACTAATTTATTAAAAAAGAAATGTATTAAAAAAATAATGTTCATTTCAAATAATGAAAATAACCATGCTATATTAAACAGTGCACATGGTCATGTAGTGTTAATCTAGACTCGTATCAGTAAATATCTGGTAGCATGCCAGGTGACTAAACTTAGTTAACCCCTCTGCAAGTCATTATTATACAATACGTAAGTTTTACTAAACTGTAAGGGAAAAGACTGGGACTTTCACAGTTCAACAAACAACACAGTAATTAAGGTAATTTGTTTTTATTGTAACACAAAATACAAAAAGAAACAATGCAAAAAATGAACTAAGCATGCAGTGAATTAATAAGTTGTTTAAGCAAATAAAAATATAAAACATATTATAAAAACACTTAGGACATCATAATGAATTATAATAGTGAAATAAATGATAAAAACTAGCTACAAAATCACAGTAGTAAAGAAAAACAAAAGCATCACCACACAAGAAATACCAAAAAAATTAATAATAAACAAATAAAAAGAAAAACAGCAGCGTTATTAAAAGAATACTACTTAAACACAGTTAAAAAAAAATAGTCTAGGTGAGCTGTTTCGATCGCTGAATTAAATGTACCTTCTGTTGAAGCAGTTGAATTTTTGCCTCTAATACAGCAATATATGCTTTCATCTTTTCTTTATCATCATCCACCTGTGTCTGTTCCTGTACAAAATAAAGTGTTCTCAATTTTCCTTGATAGATACCATCCAGGAAAAGCACACACAAAGAAATCTATTTTTAACACAGGCAACCAAATTGCACCATAGTTTTATCAACTTGTTTTAATTTGTTATTAATAATGAACACATATTTTAAATAATTGCTGATACAATAGCCTTCAATATTTTTATTTTTAAAAAAAGGTATCACACCCCCTTGTGACTTTCGGCATAGAAATTGAATACATAATCAAATTTGTAATTTTTTACAGGGTATTACTGAAATCATACCCAACTCTTTAATTTTCTCTTGAATTTATGAAGTTAGATTTGTTTCTAAGAAAATCGAGAAGCTTTATTGAAAATTAATAAAGTTTTGCAAATATAATGTCATTATTATTATTCTTTCCCAAACTTGCATAAAAAATGTTATTCAAGCTTTTAAATTAAAGCATTTGCTATGTTTTGAAAGGATCGCTAGGTTTCTTGATAATCGTTTGGCATTTTTTTAAAATCTTTTTTGTATTAGTTAAAAGCAGTTTTTTTTTTTTTTCAGTACAAAGTTTTTCTTCAAATTTTTGGGACAATAGCGGGATTTAGCATTGAAGAGAAAATCAACACATATGGCACAGTATGTTGAGTTTTGCAAGGTGGAACGTGGAGATGCAAGAGTGTATGCTTAAAGATTCACGCAGCAGAGAATACCTAATGAGGTTAACTTTTGAGAGAGATTTTCATAAGAATAGCTCCAAGTTTCAATGTGGCTCTTTTCAAAATTGAAAATTGAGTGTAGCAAATACTAGTGAGATGCCCTAACTACTCGGCTATCGTGGTCCCCCTTAAACATATTGATATTAATATATTTCGAAAAACATTACAGGAAACATGTATATTAACTATTATTGTATTATGAAATTAGAGCCCTGAAGAAAGCATAATAAATGTCAAATGTATGGCACTAGGGCAACTCTACGATTGTTGAACGCTGTTCACAAAACAATCGAATTATAAAGATGGTTGATCAACACTCTTGAAATATATTAACTAAAAGATCCCTTATAGCATGCAGGTTATAAGGAAAAAAAGAGCACTCATATTCCAGTACTACATTAAAATAATTACATTTTTACATAAGTACAATAATAAAATAAATACTGCATGCTTCCCTAGATGTAAAAATTTAACACTTACACATGAAAGAGGAAATGATTCATCCTCCAGATCCAAATCTTTTTGATTTAATGTGGATGTGGGGAAACCTGCTTAGTACAAAATCAATCAGTTCACTTGAATTATAAGACACTTTGTTATTTTTTACCATTTTGTATTATGTTTGCTGCAGTAAGATCCGTTTCTGTGCAACAACGTCTTACTTTTCCCATTCTGGTTGCTGTGTACAATTCAGGCGATTTAACTCTTCTTTTTGTCCCACTGCTACAATCCAAATGTGGTTCCCTAAACATAATTGCCATAAATAAAACAACAATGAATTTTTTATACAATAAAAACCATTGAGTATTTTTTTATAGGTAGTAGTAAAGAAAAGTTAAATCATTTTTGTCACACATTTTTTGAACAGAAAGGAGAACAAAGTGTCGTTGATGATGAGGATGGAAAAGGAAGGGAATGTCTGTGATACCAATAGGCAGACCATAATAATTTTGAGATAAAGCAAACTATAAGGAAGAAAATGTGGAAAATAGTAAAAATAATTAATTATTAAATTATTACTAACTTCTTCTGTAAGTTTGTAGTGAGAAAATTTTCCAACTGGATGGTTAATTCGTCATTTTTGTCCCTCAACTCTTTGTTTTCCACTTCTAAGTTGTTGATTTTCTCTACAATACCCGATGATTGCTCCTGTAAAGATTCCAGTTCATAGACCTGAAAATGAAAAAAAAAAAATACACCTAATTATAATAGTGAAATTTTTAAAGTGTTCAATTTACCACAAGTACATAAATATTACAAGTGACTTATAGACAAGACTTTCAACTACTAATTGAATCATTAAAAATAATTAAATTCATTAATTTCGTGGTACACTTGAACAATTAATATATTACAATTAATTAAGGTTTTTATTCGAGATAAAAAAAGTCAATGGCACGAGCAGGATTCGAACCCACGTTCTTCAACTAGATACGCCGCTGCTCTACCACTTGGGCTATCGTGACCTCGATCCGGTCAGACACTAACTTCCTATCTCAACCGCACCTTTTTTTATCTCGACTAAAAGCCTTAATTAATTGTAATATATTAATTNCTCGTGCCATTGACTTTTTTATCTCGACTAAAAACCTTAATTAATTGTAATATATTAAAAATAATCTACTTAATTTTTAATCTGAAATGTTCAGAGTGAAAATATTTTGATGGAACTAAGGTATTTCTGTAGTAAATGAAAACTGGAAGCAGAAAATGTGACAAGAAATAAAAACAACTGTTACCCTTTGATGTAAGGAAGACATGCACTCCAATTGTTCCTGAAAATCCTTTTTGAGAGTTTCACTCTCAAACAATTTGCTATTTAAATTCCTGTTTTCTTTTTCTAAATGTTCACATTCCTGAAAAGAGCAAAATTGACGTCAATTATATTTTGTCAAAATAGAAAATAAAAGACATTTATTTAAGAGTACTTTACCATTTTTAGAGCAGACAGTTCTGATGAAATGTTATTCAATTGTTCTATGTGTTCTGTTAATGATTTTTCTAATCTTTGGTTGGTTTGCAAAAGTTGATCTTTTTCTAATGATATTTGGTATTTTAGCTGTTTAATATCTTCTTGTTGTTTTTGTTCCAAAAGCCTAAACAAATAAATTTAACTTACAATTAGTAAAAGAAAGTGATTCATATTTTATAATTTAAAATAATTATAAGTATATAAGAATTTCAACCAGTATTTAGTAGGAATAAATATTCCTTAATTTTAGTTTTAAAAAAGTCTCCAGGTTTTACACTTTATGCTGTATAAAATATTTTACTCCTAACATATCCAACAGTTAGTGGATCGTTGTAAAATAACATAAGTAGAACAGTTTTGCAACATTGCCATTCTCATCCACGACAACCCTTTGTAACTGATGTCTACAAATATAAGCAAATCTAGCTTTGTTGTTTTGAGTTTTGTTAGTCATTCATAGTGAAAAAATGGCTTGCAATTTTAATTAAAAATTTAAAATATTTAAATTTTCTTGTCATCAAATACCTATTAATTTAGTGTATGCATACTCCTTAATTTTAATTTTGAATAGAACTAGATTTCCTTATATTTTTCGTGCACGGCTCATTTGATTTTCATACTACCAATGAATTTTCTGTTAGTTTTCCTCTGCTTTACCTATATATGTGTTTATAACACATAGACCGCTCAGTCGGATTTTTTTATTCCCATCGTTTTTACCTTAGTGTTGACCTGAACTAAATGGGAAAACAAATAAAAAATTCTGAATTATCCTCCGCTCTTCCTCTGATATTCCATAACCAGCTCAGATGATTTTCTTACTTCCAACCTTTTTTCATTAGTTTCGAAAAGCGAAAGATAATTCACATTTTTTTCCCCCCATTTAGTTCAGTTCACAATTAATATATTTTTACTTTTGGTACTCCGGTGCGCAAAATTGCAAATCATTTACACCCAATAAAAATATTGGTTTATTTAAAAAAACTAAAATTAATTTTTCACACAAAAATTACTTGACTCCCATTATTTTCATAAACAATAAATATAACAAGTTTTATAATTTTATATAAACAGTATATTAATGAAAACAAATAACATTAATCACATGTTTTACATAAAAAATACAAATCATTCATCATAAATATAAAGTTATGCCCAACTCATTGCAAAACTGACCAATAAACAAAAATTGATTCAAATAAAACCATAATTGTACGAAATAGAATTGCTAATACAATTTAACAAATGCAAACAAAGAAACAAAAATAAAGGTTTTAAAAAAAATTCAGTTGTTAAAAAAAATTTAAAAAAATTTTCTTCTAGCTAAGGGCATCTCTGCTTTATTTCCTTTTTTTCATGCTTACATTGAATCTTTATCAATTAATTAATCTAAATTACTCAATCTTAATAAAATAATGGGAGTAATGACTTAGAAAGTTTTAAACCAAATGAACCCTCACAACTCTTTCCAAGGGACTCTTTGTGCCTTTTCATAAACCATAGTCAGCATGTTAAAAGATTTCCAACAACAATTAAATTGATATGGAAATATAATATTAAATAACTCACTCAATTTTGTTCCGTGATGCTTTCTCAATTCTTGCATGGTGTTCATCTATTTCCTGGGCCAATATTGTGGCTCTGTGATTGGCATCTGCAAGATCTGCCTTAAGCTTGTCTCGTTCTGCTGTCACCGCTTCAAGTTGTGTCCTTAAAAAAAATTATTGTAATGTAAAACAAATTATTTTTATAATTGTTTAATATTGCAAATTGCGATTATTCACCTTGCATTATTCAGTTCTTGAAATAATCTTGCAGTTCCAGACACACTGATTTCATTAACATCCATTGTGGGTGATTTTGAAAACCTGAACAATACAAATAAATGTTTAAATTGATTTTTGAAAACAAAGAGCATCACTTACTGTGTTCGATTTGCATCGAGGCTTTGCAGCGTAGCGTCACTTTTGGAATGAAACAGTTCAAGAAACTCTTCAAATAAAATTCTTCCTTCATCGTCTGTCTGCAGTGTGGAAAACACTTGTGTCACCACCTTGAGAAAGTGGAAAATTAACAAAATTTCACGATATATATTATAATAATAATTACCTGGTCAGCCATTGTATCCATTCCAACAGCAGAACAAATCATAGCTAATTCATTTGGGTGTAAATATCCTTCTCTTCCGACACCTAATCTTTCCCAAGCATTCCTCAACTCACTTTCACCGCTCACTTCAAATCAGAAGATTAAATTTTTTAACAAGTGTATTAATAGTTTATATTATAAATTCTTACCTTCACATTCTTTGTTAATTAACATGTTTTTTACAGACTGGTGTTCCAGTTCTTGTAAGTCATCAGAATTTCCATTAACTGTTATTAAATCAGCACTTGAACACAGCTGGAAAAAGTGTGAAGGAATTAATAAACTAAATGTCATTCCCATTATGTTGAGTACAAATTCTGAACTGTGATAAATTGTTTCTTATAATTCTCCTTAAATTATATACATGTTTTAATTAAATTAAATAAAAAACAATCATGGTTAAAGGAAAGATTGGTGTATCTATTAGAAATTTGTTTAGTCCAAAAGTTATTTTATATCAAAGGTCAACTTCCTTGTTACAATAAACAAACAAGGAAAATAGCAGGTTTATACTTTACCTAATATTATCTATAAGATTTTCTCTTAAAAAATAAAATAAAAATCTATCAACAACCAGACTTACCGTTATATTATTGAGACTAGTAGAGTGCAGAGAATTTAGGATATCTTTGCTCCTGTTAGAATTATCATTCATTTCATTGATATCCAACTGCTCTATACTCTCTGGACGTGATCTCCTCCCGTATTTCTTTTCCCCATAAACGTATTTTGGTGATACTTCTCGCACTGCTCAAATAAAATTAAAAAATTAACTAAGTTCTACTAAAATTAAGTTCTTGAATGTAGAGTAAGGATGAAATTTCAATTAGGGAAAGCGTCAAGCACACTTCAGAGAGAATAAAGGTAGGATGAAGGTGATTAATATTTATTATGTCACCCACCCTTCTGACCTAATTATAACATTAACAACACTGCAAACACTTATGAAAATTTAAAAAAAAATATTATTACATACATTTAAATGATACTAATCTTTAATCTTAATTGTTCTTTGTTCATGATAAGAATATTGTTTATATAGATTCTATTTTTTGAGGAAGTGAGTTTCATTGAAACCGTCTATGTGCTGTTGATAAAATATTTCAAACCATTATCAACAAAAGATTTCACAATTACTTAGTGAATAAGAAACAAAAACAAACAAACAACAACATGGAGAGCGGCCTCATTTGTCGCGAAGAATCAAATAGATTACACGACATTTGAAAAATGGCAAAAAGGAGGGAAAATTCAAAAGGTGGGGTTGAGATGGGAAGTTAGTGTCCGAGTGGATCGAAGTCACGATAGCTCAAGTGGTTGAGCAGCAGCGTATCTAGCCGAAGATCATGGATTCGAATCCCGCTCGTGACACTGAATTTTTTATCTCAAATAAAAACCTTAATTAATTGAAATAATTTATTAGATTGAATGGAGGGGCTTATCCCCAATTACCCTGAGGAATATCAAGTTCTCTTGGGTAGTGTGAATGTTTTATCTGGCTTCTGTGTATTTATTGACAACTGATGAGGCCATGAGGTATAACAGAGAGGCAATATGATAAAAAAAAGAGAGAGTCAGTTACCATTATATGGAAAGATAGGAAAATAAATTAGTAGGCTTAAAATGTGAGAAATACAGAAAAAGAGGCTGCAGTTCAATACAAAATACGCGAGAAAGACAGGAAAGAGAAGGAATACACGTGGAGGGCCGGCGATGACCTCAGCTGTTTGTCGGCCCATAAACCTTCCACTTTATATATACAGGAAAAGAAAAAAGAAAAGCTAGAGGACTGGCAATGACTAACAATGACTAAGATGGTAACAAAAAAAAAAAAAAAATGAAGTATTATATTTATTCAATTCTGTTCAAGACTGCTGAAACCACGTTGTGCAGAGATACTCTATCCTCTATACCGTGAAGGACCTACTTTGACCATAAGAGGGGTAAAAGAAGTGGTAATCTTGAATATTTTATTTTAGTCTTTTATTTTTGGTATTTTTGTATTTTGTAAGTCTTTTATTTACATATTTACAAAATGATAATTTTAAAGAAGCACAGACCAAGAGAACAAAAATAAATAAACTATCATGTTTTAACCATATTAACCACCACAAGCACTTTTGAAATCATCATTTGTTACTTAATTTATTTTTATGCAGTTTTGCATAATGATTTAATTGGCTTTTCAGTAATTTCATTGCTTATTTATATTTTTTTTATATCACTATGATTTTAAGTGCCAAGTATTTTAATATACTCATAGCATAATTAAAAGATACAAGAGGTCAAACAAATAATATGGCCAGATTAAGCATTCCATGAACATGGTGATCCTTAAATGACCCTTGAATGACAATGTTTTTTTAAATTCCTGGAGTATCAAGTAAATGTGTAATATATTTTAACGGGGTCTATGAGATCATAAATGTGTAGTTTATCATGTCTGACAGGCCAGCCCAGCGAGGACAGGCATATAGTAAGGATCAAATTACAGTTTATTCACCCTGCAGACAATAGGAATGGATGTAAATTTCACAATTCCAAGAACAACTATTTAAAAGGATTTTTTTATAGTTTTGTACCTAATAGTTCAAAAAGTTTTGATAGAAGAGTAGTATAGAATTAACGATTAATAGAAATACTAATCATTGTGGGGTAATTTCAGCTGTTAATACCCTTTGTAGTGATACACAGTTGTTGAGTGAGTGAGAAAGACATTTTCTGGTGCAAAATTACACTTACAATACAATTACAAAAGACTCGCCTCTAATTCAGTTAAATTTGGAAGAAATAACATTAAATAGACATAGGGAAGCTAGGGTACAACTTGTTATCCAGAGTGTATAAGGCATGAGATGCTGAGAATAAAATTATCGTGCAACCCTCCAAAGTAACTTGTTCTGAACAAGAAACTCTACAGAAGCTCATGCCGACTTGATCTTCATGCACGGTTCATCAACAGATATGAGGTACTTTTTGTGTTATTTATACGAGAATACAGTTGTATGTACTAATCAACATACAGAAAGACTTCAATTCCGGGCTTGGAATTTCCAGCAGTCCTGAACTAAACTTCATAAAATTCTTGTGATTCAATAATAAAAAAGTGTAAAAACATATTGACAGATTGAATTTGTAATGATTAAAAATCATTTTGCTGAAAAAGTTTGTAATTTATTGTAATAGGAGTCTGTGAGGTGATAAATTTGTAGTTTGATTGCCTCTGAACATCCTGGACTGCTTATTCTTGCTGGTTTTATCTGTCAGACAGGGATGAAGAAGTTTTAAAAAAATAATAAAGCCAAAGTTGCTCCAACTAGGCAGATGGTTGACCTGCAATCGACGAGGCAGGTTGTAAAACAAAATAAAATAAATAAATTCACTAGTTTTCGTGGTCCGCTTGACCAATTAATGTCCTTCAAATAATTCAATAAAATTAATAATAATCCATGTATGTTAGAGGTCATAATTGGCCATATTGTGCATGGTGATTAATGTCATTAATGTCGATGATTATTCGGAAATGGTGAGATGCGTCTGGTGTGATGTAGGTTTCAGAAAAACATTTTCTTTATCGTGGCAACGTTTCGATCTTTATTGAGATCATCTTCAGGGCTTGGGATTTACAAACATTGCTTAAATTTAACAAAAACATGTAGGATGTGGAAAAAAGTGAATTTATACAATGCAAAAAATATATTTTTTTAATATTCAATCAAAGTATCAAATATATAAAAATATTTTTTGCATTGTATAAATTCACTTTTTGTCCACATCCTACATGTTTTTGTTAAATTTAAACAGTATATGTTAACGTTTAATAATAGTAGGATGTGGAAAAAAGTGAATTTATACAATGCAAAAAAATATTTTTTATATTCAATCAAAGTGAGTTTGATATTTGATACTTTGATTGCATATAAAAAATAATTTTTTGCATTGTATAAATTCTCTTTTTTCCACATCCTACATGTATTTGTTAAATTTAAACAATGTTTGTAAATCCCAAGCCCTGAAGATGATCTCAATAAAGATCAAAATGTTGGCACGATAAAGAAAATGTTTTTCTGAAACCTAACCAGACCGCATCTCACGATTTCCGAATAATCATTGGCCATATTAATTAATTATTTCAATTAATTATTATTTTTATCTAAGTTCTTGGTTGAGATGGAAAAGTTAATGTCACAAGCGGGATTCGAACACACGACCCTCGGCTCAATACGCCTATGCTCACACAATAAGTCAAGTGGTTAGAGCAGCAGCGTATTGAGCTGAAGGTCGTGGGTTTGAATACCACTTCTAACATTAACTTTTTTATCTCAACTGAGACCTTAGATCAACAGAGTAATTAATTGAACTAAAATTAATTTCTAACAAATTTGCCACCCACGAGGATGAAAATTGAAATTCCAGCCAATTTGTTATAATGCCATAAATCATTGTTAAATAATTTATGTGTTTAGTAACCATAATTTACCGTATTATTTTATTGATTATATATTTTATCTATGGTATTGTGTGAGATGGAAAAGCTAGGGTCACGAGGTGGATTCAAAGCCACGACCTTCAGCTCAATAAACTCCTGCTCTAACCCAAGCTCAAGTGGTTAGAGTAGCAGCGTATTGAGCTGAAGGTTGTGGGTTTGAATACCGCTTCTAACATTAACTTTTTCATCTCAACCGAGACCTTAGATCAACAGAGTAATTAATTGAAATAAAATTAATTTCTAAAAAATTTGCCACCCAGGAGGATGAAAATTGAAATTCTAGCCAATTTGTTATTGTTAAATAATTTATATATGTTTAGTAATCATAATTTATTGTATTATTTTATTGATTATATGTTTTATCTATGGTAGTGTGTGAGATGGAAAAGCTAGTGTCACGAGCTGGATTCAAAACCACGACCTTCAGCTCAATAAACTACTGCTCGACTCGAAGTTCAAGTGGTTAGAGCAAATGAAGCGCTCAATCAACAATGTATGATTGGTCAGTTTTGGTTGTTCAGGAGAAACTTAGTCATCTAGTATTGCTGTTTTGTGCGCCCAAGATATTACCAGCGTGTATAAAATAAATCAAAATTGTCAACATACCCGGTGAAGGAGACCTGTTTTCATGTTCCCTCACACCTCCAAGAAGGGTCAAAAGTGCATCCCTGAACTTGTTGAATGTCACAGAAGGTGCGGAAGGAATCCCGTTGGGTAGAAGATATGACATGAGCTCCTCCCTGCCGTCTTCGAGGTGGAGCAACTCGCACAGCTTGGAAAGCCCGTCGTTGTCCAGCAGGCCTTTCCCATCACAGTCGCAGCTTTTGAACACTTCCAAAAGTTGTCTCTCATATGGGTCACGGGGCAGAGATTCCATAGCATTTCACTCCGTTCTCAATCTCGACTGGGATCAAAACAGAAAAAAAAGAATTAGGCCTGTTTTTAAAATCGGCCCTACGTGATTCAGGAGAATACGAGGGACAAGTTGAGCAAGCGTTTGCAATAAAGTGAGAGGCCGTTTAGCCCTCGTCTATTATATCTTGGGTTTATTTATCGATGTTTGTAACAATTGAAAATTTACCTGGGTGAAAGGGACTAAAAAAACGTCTTATCGCTTTAACTGAATAAGAGCCATTTTATTTCCGAGACGACGGTTCCAATAACAAAACACAAACGGCTAATGACATATCCGCCATTGAAGTTAGCCTGACTTCCAGCCCTAACTTGGCCACATGACACGCAAAACAAACTCGTAACCTACTTTAAACATGACAGTCTCCGAATTCAGATCGGTGAAAGGATATTAAAAATTTCGAAAAGAAAAGTTAAGCAGGTATTTTGTCTGTCTTTTAATAAATAGGTGAGGACGTAAGGAATGCACTAGCCTCCTCTGTTTGAGGATGGCGTTTTTCAACTTGTTCAGGATGGAGAAACGGTCAAAATATTTCTGCATAGGGGTTTTCACTGCTTCGTTGACTTGGAGTGTGAGTATTTACCTAGTCTACCTGATAAATTCAGAGATCGGTCAGAATTCGCAGTCTGTGTCTCATTTCACTTCCCACACGCCTTACAGTAACGATGTTGTCATTCCGTATGAAGAGGATCCTTCGAAACGTTTGAGGGCAAAAAAGAAGTACTTCGGCCCTGGAGTTAACGAACTTCATCACATCGCGGTGAAGCAGAATTTGAAGCCTGTACTCGTGAAACAGAACGAAAAGGAAGAAATCAACGAAGCTGCTCTCGTGAGGAATCAGGCCGATCTGAAGTTCAGGGACGAAGGATATCGCATGCATGGTTTCAATGCCCTTGCTAGCAAGAATCTAGACTACCACCGAGCCATACCAGACACTAGGAATCAATTGTGCAAAAACAAAACTTATTCAAATTTACCTAATGCCAGTGTTGTGATTTGCTTTTACAATGAACAGTTTGACACGCTTGTCAGAACGTTGCATAGCATTTTGGACAGAACACCAGAGCATCTCTTGCATGAGATTATACTTGTCAACGATAACAGCACGATAGACGGGCTGTATGACACGGTCAAATTGTACATCCAAGCAAATTTAAATAAAAAAGTCAAACTGTTCAGTACAAGTGTGCGTGAAGGATTAATTAGAGCAAGGATTTTTGGATCCAACCTGGCCAGTGGAGAAGTGCTTATATTTTTGGACAGTCATGTTGAAGTCAATACCGTTTGGATTGAGCCATTGCTGGAGAGGGTGGCTGGCAATAGAAAGAGGGTTGTCACGCCAATCATTGACATCATCAATGCTGATACGTTTGAATACTCTGCGTCTCCTATCGTACGAGGAGGTTTCAACTGGGGGTTGCATTTTGAATGGGTTAACATTCCTGTTGGGTCTCTTTCCACTGAAGAAGATTTTGTCAAGCCCATTAGTTCACCGACCATGGCCGGAGGGCTTTTTGCCATGGACAGGCAGTACTTCAACACACTCGGGAAATACGATCCAGGGATGAATATATGGGGTGGAGAAAATATAGAAATCTCCTTTAGGATATGGATGTGTGGAGGTACAATAGAAATTATACCTTGTTCAAGGATAGGTCATGTATTTAGAAAACGGAGGCCTTACGGATCACCCGATGGCGAAGATACCATGCTCCGCAATTCGCTGCGAGTGGCTCATGTTTGGATGGATGAGTACAAAGAGCATTATTTAAAACAAAAACCTGAAGCAAAAAATGTCCCATACGGAGACGTTTCAGATAGAATACTTCTTAAAAAAAACCTTAACTGTAAATCTTTCTCTTGGTACCTTAAAAACGTGTATCCAGAATTGACTTTACCTTCTGACTCAAAAGCAGTTGCAGAAGTGAAATCAAAATCTGTTTATCAAAGTAAATATTCACGTAACAACAACTATTTAGGGCATTATCAGATACGTTTGAGCAGAACAAATCTCTGCATGGCTTCTGAAAAGGATGTCAAGGTCAAGGGATCACGCCTTATCCTCAAAACCTGTCTACGTGTAAAAAACCAAATTTGGTCCGAGACGCCTAAAGGGGAACTGCGGCTTGCTCAGTACCTCTGCCTCGATGCCGAAAAACAAGAGCCGCGGCTCGCCAAATGCCACGAAATGGGAGGCAATCAAGAATGGAAACACAGGTATTCTACAAAAATGCCTATTTACAACATCGCCGCAGGCACTTGCCTTGCGGTTGCAGAAGTCAGATTGAACAGCCATATTATACTTGATATCTGTTCATCAAATGATGAATCACAATGGGACTTCATCCCAGTACCCAGCTAACCATTGGTACATGTTCTTTAGTGTACTTTGTTATTCAAAATATTCTATATTTCATGCAGAAATTATCATGATATAATAGGTATATTTATATTACTCATAATACTTTTAATCTTCAATTTGTAAATAGGTTTTTAATAATTTATTTTAATTTTTTTAAGTTGGAAATTAAGTTTAATTTACCCTAAATTAGCAGTGTATAAAATAATTTAAAAATTTTCACACTAATGAAATAAAACCTGTTTTCCAAATAAATCAATCCTGTGAATAATTAATACCAAAGACTGAAAAATGCTAGGAATCACGGAAATTGGGTGTGCATATTTGCATGAAATGTTAAACTTTTGATATTCAATTGATTATTGTACAATGTAAGCATTTTAATAAGTAAATTATTGATTTAAGCACATTGGAAATTTAAAATTTATGTTTTTGCTATGCCAATCTCTATTCGAATGTTTTAGTAACTGCAAAATTTAACCAGTAATCATTTTATGTTTAATAATTCAGAGTTAAAATATTTATTATTAATGTAGTTGCAACAGATTATTCCAATTAGGAAAACTTTCTAGTTAAAAAAACTTCCATTATGATTCAAAGGAGAAAATGGGCCTATTTCTAAGGCTGTGTGAAAACATGCCAAAAATCTATGGCACTAATTTTTATTTTTCTAAATTATTTTTACAAATCCATTATAATAATGGGTACGTAGGCAAGACAAGTATAAAAGTTTTAAAACAAAATCATGTTGTGATATTTTTTTATAATAGAGCAGTTATTATCATATTTCCTAATGAGCCTTGTTCAAATGTAATTTTATTAAAATAATTCTGTAGCCAATTAAAAGATCACCAGCCAAATAAAACAATAAACCTGTAAATGTTTGTGGTGTGATATAAAAATATTTTTGTGCCTGTTTAAGATCTGAACATTCCAAAGCCAAAATTTTCTAGTCAGTATCCTGTATCCACCAACCTACTTCTTCAAATTCTGTTGTTTTTTTTTTTTTTGTTTTAAATATTTCTTGGTGTTTCCCAATAATTCCAATTAATCATTGTAGCAAAAGTAAGGAGTTAGCAAAGTTCTTGTGATCTTTAATGAAATATTATAAACACTTTGGAATCGTAAACTAAGTGAAGAATGGTAAATCGTTGCATATTGTGTTCAGATATTGTTTTTATCAAATTGTTTTAAAAATATACAATTTCTTTTCAGTATTCTTTGTTAATTGTTAATTAAACTTGGCTGTGAAGTTATTTATAATTTAATAAAACAATGTAATATTCCATCCTCTTATTATTGATTCTCAGTTTTAAAGACTTATTTGTACGTATGTAATTTAAATTTTTTGTAATATTGGTCTTGAATTTAATTATTATTGTCTTATTAAATTGTTTGATATTTTATTATTGATCTTGATGTTCAATAAATATATTTCCTGTATTGACTTTTTTTTATTTAGCGTTAAGAGTTGTGACATTTCTTCTTGAATCATGAGGGATGATGAACCCATTGTTGGTTTGATCATTTCTAAACTCCATTTGAAGAATACAAAAAATCAACCAAACACTTTCGACGTCGTCAAGAATGTAAAAATTAATTTCACTAGTTTCATGGTCCACTTGACCAATTAATATCTTTCAATTAATTAAGGTTTTTAGTTGAGATAAAAAAATTGAAAAATGGCAAAAAGGAGGGAAAATTCAAACGGTGGGGTTGAGACGGGAAGGTAGTGTCCGAGTGGATCAAGGTCATGTTAGCTCAAGTGGTAGAGCAGCGGCGTATCTAGCCGAAGATCGTGGGTTCGAACCCCGCTCGTGACACTGACTTTTTTATTTCAACTAAAAACCTTAATTAATTGAAAATAAAAATTAACAGTAATAAAGCAGTATGGTTCTATTGTTCTCTTATACTATTAACAAAAAATCGTAAGAAAACAAACAATTAACTTTATTTGAAATTTTTTGCATAAATACAATTAAACCTATAAAGATCACATGGCTTGGAATCCCTCATTTTATACAATAATATGAAAATAGAAAATTAACAAGTGTTTTAAATTAATATCATATTTGAAAGTACAATACACTTTCTTAACAAATTAAAATCTAAAAAAATATGTTCAATAAAAAAATATACATATACAGTAGCGATACATTTAACCAGTTAAAATTAACCTACAATTACGTGTTTTTTATTCTTTTAGAACACACTCAAAGCAGTGTTAGTATATTTTTAATGTCAATAAATAAAATGGAATTAAATAAATTGAAAACATGTTATAAAAATTGATCTGTACCAAAGTATAAATATCTTCTAATTCTTTTCCTTTATACTATCTATAATAACTGTAGTAAGTTTAAAAAGCGTAACTTTTATTTACTTGTTACTATAAATTTTATATCAAATAATGAAATTCATTATGTACCCAACATTATATACAACTGTAATTTTCTAAGCTTTATACAGGCACATCATATTGATCAACAGTCATTTTATTCTTATTTAGATGTAATTATCGTCAGTACTTTTTGAATGCTCCTCATGACATTGGATGGCACAATATCAGTTAAAATTGTAAGGAGTTTGGGGTCCGATGATAGCATGGTGAACATCTCTTTTGCATACTTCCTACCAAAATAAATACAAACAACAAAATTAAAATTTGATTTGGAAGTTTTCTAATTTACTTTTAGAACAAACCTTGTCTCTAAACTTCCTTCAGTTAAAAATTTTGCCCCTGTACTCAATATTGCATCTCTAGTTTCTTTTTGTAAATTCATAGTCCTCTCTGGACCCAGTCTTGTGCACAATCTAAGAAGAAGTCGGCATGTTGCTCCACGAATAATCGCATTCTGGTGCCTTGAATTTGTTTAAATTTATTATTTTCATTGTAAGTTTTAAAAAAATAATAAACTTACTTTGCTCCTTTACTGACTAAGGCAGAAACACTTTTATAAGGAGTTATATTATCAACCATTGCATCTAAAGCAGTGCTACTGTCAGCTCTGAGGAACTTATTTGTATCAGCCATTCGTGAAAGTAAAGCACCAGTTATATCCTCTGCATCCTTAAAATACAAAAAAGTTATAGAATCTCATTTAACATACAACTTACTGGAGAACTTACTGGATCTAAATTGCGACCTAATGTTGTAAAAAGCTCTCCTGCACACTGGCAAGCTCCCCTTGAAACTTGTGATCTTAAATTCTTAATTTGTTTTGTAAGGGGTGCGACTATAGCATGTGTCGAATTTTGTAAGACCTTCCCGTGATGTCTGGCAAGTCTCACAATAGCCTGTAAACCTTGCATAACGACCTCCCTGAAAAGTGTTATTATATTTTAATAACAAAAAAATATAAAGAAGCTAATGCATTATTGGTTACTACTTAAAAAAAAAAAAAACATTAAAAAATTGAAAATGGTTACCATTCTGGATTTTCTATTTGTAAAAATGCTTTGTTCAAAGCGTCCTTTGGATTTTCAAATGGTGGTAATGAAGGAGGGTATAAACTAGTTTTACTGTTTTCTTTTGTCACTGGAGAACCACTAATTTTGGTCCTAATTTTGTAGCTACAAAAGAAATTTTTTTGTTAGTATTTCTTTTATAAAATTATATAATTTAAAACTTACTCAATAGCTCTTGGGATTCTCCTCTTTGGCTTCACCTCTCCACTTCTGTCAGATCTTGTGCTATCAATAGTGTTTACACTTTCCTCAGTGATCCGGCTACTTTCAGATCCGAACTCACTGTTTGGAGTACCAGTTGATTTTGTCTCAGGCTATTAACATAAAACAATTAATAATTAATATGATTTATTTTGAATTCAAACTTAATACCTACATTTATTGGTGTTTCATCAAACTCTTTTTGCGAGAGAGAAGGTGATTTTAAAGGATCACCTGGCTCTGTGTTTTCGTTCACTTCGTCTTCAACAGCTATAATGGCCAAACTTATTAATTAACCATACATTGCAAAAAGAGAATTCAACTTACGATCTACAGATTCCTCTAATTGAAGTTGACTGTTGACACTGGCTAAACTGGAAGTCACTGATGTCCCTGGAGTGTTGTTTGTTTCCAAGTTGATCTCACTGGCATTTGAGTCGATTTGTCGTAATGAGGGTGTCGAGGATGCAAGTCCATTTTCGATTGATTTAGTCGAACTAAGGTCTGTTCGAGTTAGTGATATGTCTGATCTTGCCAGTGAGGTATCAGACCTTGAAGCTTCAGAATTTCTTAGAGATTTTGAAAATCCATTTTCTTTTATTACGCTTCCATTTCTATAAACAATGCATTTTTAAATAATAACATTAACAAATAAAACAACTAAATGTTTTGAATGTTCAGCATTTCAATTTTAATGTTGATGATGTTTTAAATCTCTTACATTTGTACTATCTTAAATATTGTTTATTATTAAATATATTATATTTCGTGGTCCGATTGACCAAATAACTTCTTTCAATTAATTAATCTTTTTATGTAAGGTATTGGTTGAAATGAAAAGGTTAGTGTCATTGTTTATTATTATTACTTTTAGTCTTTAAAATTATGAAAATCAGAGAATCCATAAGAAGAAAAAAAGAGCAACAAGGTGTGTAAAACTTATGGCAAAATAGCACAATAGTCAATATTTACACAATAGATATTACTATCACCAGTTCACAGTCAAAACAACAAAGTCAATGACAATGCTTTGTCTAAGCAGATTGAAGCACAATTTCCACTTTGACGAAGTTAATTGTTTCCATTGTTAAAAAAAAGAAGTCATAAAAAAAGCATATTTTATGAGTCAATATGGATAAAAAATTATGAAAACTCAATTTCTAAACAGCATGGTTGGTTAAAGCCTGCCTATATGAGTACAGACAATTTTCCAGTATGTGGAAGAAAAAGTGACCCTATTTTAAGAACAGAATGAAAGGGTTGTAGCCGTGCTTCTGTTTTCTTCACTTTTTTCAAGCATTAAAACAAAATCTTTCGAAATTTTATTATCTTAAATATACGCTCAAAAGATTTTCTGATTTTTTGGTCACAGAAAGTTTAGCTTTCTGAGGTTTTTCGTGTTGAATAACTTGGCTTTAAAATTTTGCTCGAATCTAAACAATATGGAGGGAAGAGATAGAATATCTGACCTTTTTTCTCGGAAAAGACCGCGAACAACAACCCGAGATTACAAAAGGAAATAAATTCTTTGATGCCTTTTGGACTTCGCGATGCCCCACACACTTTTCAAAGATCACTCAAGAACTCTATCACGAAAGACCTTTCATTCATTTATGTCTACATTGATGATATTCTAATTTTTTCTTCCAACTTTCGCCAAACTAAAGGTTGATTTTTAAGAATATCATGTATCACAAAATGGTATATCAGCCATGACCGAAAAAATTCTACTGTAGTAAATTTTTCCAAGAGGCAAAGGACTTCACAACTGATATGATTAAAAAAAAGGCCATTTGTAAGTATGTCGAGTTGGAATGCAGGGCCGCTGGATTCGAACCCGGGACCTTTACCTTACAGTGATGAGCGCCGTGTCAACGCCTAAACCGTTGCGGCCACCGACGCCCCTAGCTCTACATCTTCATTCCATCAAAAAAAGATCTCATCACAGAAATGGACACAGCCTATGCACAGATGCAAAAACATATTACAATTGAAAATCACATTAACTTTCCAAACTCCACGCAAAATTATCTTTAATGGCTGACACATTCAACACTGCCATCGGTGGCGTCATTCATCAAGATCATGATTGACATCCACGATCCTTAGCTCCGTTTCCATTGCGCGAAAATCACTCGCGAAACGGCTGTCTTGGGTTAACCATTTCCACGAGGACCAAACACCACACCTTGAGCCAAAAGTTTCGCAGTTATTCACAATGCGAGTCAAATTTCGCGAAACAGTTGCGTGAATGATTTTCGCGCAATGGAAACCCAGCTATTTGGCAAAACAAGGTGGGCCATCAGTTTGCGCGAGGCAATCATGCATTCGTTAATGCCTACACTTAAGCCGGGTTTCTATTGCACGAAAAATCACTCGCGAAAGGCCATCTCGGGTTAACCATTTCCACGAGGCGAAGCAAGGTGAGCTATCAGTTCGCGTGAGATAAGCATACTACACCAACTGCTGCAACAGCTTTTGCTATCATGGCGATACTTTTTGTTGTACTTTTTGTCTTTGTCCCGTTTTGATGCTCATTTCCTTCGTATTCTTTCTCTTGTTCTTGTTATGATGAGTTTCACTTTACCATCCCACAAAAATCCAGTAGCTGTGATAAATTCGTATAAGTCAAATGCAGTCCTCTTGGTTCGATCTCATACTTGAGACAAGTGCGTTTACACGGAGAGAAACCACGCGAATCACATAGATTCTTTTTCAAGCCTGATAACCTACGGCACTTTAGTTATTAGGTGTAGGTTTTTTTTATTAGTTTAATTTAAAAAAAAATGTAAATTTAGTCTTAAATGGAATAAGTGTTATATGTATTCATTGTTTTTCATTCTTAGTTAAGCCCTGTTTATTCATGATATTCGTTTGTTCAAGAATTAGTTTCTGTAGAAGCAGGAAGTGCTTGTAAAGTTTAATTTCCTTGGCTGGAAGGCGGCTTCATAAGTAAGAAGAATAAGAAAGAAACGCTACGTTTGTCGGCGGAGGTTCAAACTTTGGAACCGTATCTGTGCTGTCAATTTTTTTCCTTTCTTTCATCTTTTTTCCTGATTTTAGAGTATTGGTGTTGACCCCTTCCCCAACAATACCGTGGCACCCAATGTAAAATTCCTTTTGTATCTTTATCCATCGAGGTACTACCAATGTAGGTTTCAGCCGCCTAAAGTGAGGCGTAACAAATTTGGCGCCCGGCGTGGGGACTTATAAGAAGAGAGAGAAGTCGGAATAAATAAACCATTACGGGAAGGAGGAAGGTCGGAAAAGAAAGGAAGACCCACTTGGAAATGTCGAGGTACGAATCGCCAGTTAGTATGTGAACTCTTCCAACAACTTTTACAAATGGGAATATCTGCGGGACTCGCCATGAGCCTAAACACGTTCAGAAGAAGCTAGTTCCCGAAAGTGAGTGGAAGCTGAAATTTTCTAGGAATGGGCAAGATCTGGTGTCAACGCGTTGCTTGAAATGGTTGAAGACTTGAATATCAACAGAAATGTTATGATGAGGATCGTTTCTGGTCTGCGCATGAACTTTTCGTGGAAAAGACTTCATTTGGCGGTGGACTACTAAAGAGGGAGTTTAAGCTGGAACTGCAGTAAGAGTTACAACCGATGGACTACGAAGGTATGGGGTGAGATCCGTGCCGGAACTTAGGGTGAGGATGAGCTCATTGGGATATTCATCAGTGTTATGAAGAATTATTTCTTCCGCCTGACATCATTGCCGGCAGAGGGTGACATGTTGAAGATGATAAGGAAGAATTTATACCGGCTGGCTCTTCAGCCAGTAACTTCCCTGAAAGATTTAAAGGAAAAGGGCCGGCTACTAGAGGAAAACCGATGGCGAATGGCGACGCATCGGCCACCCCCTGTTCGTGGAAGGATTTGGGTTACTCGCCACTGACTCGCCGAAGGAGTGTTAGTGTGGCTGAAGTACATCGTACTATTCCACCAAAAGGATGTTCTTGCACTTCTTGGTGTGTTGGAAAATAAGGACGATCCCAGAACAAAAAAGTTCCATGCAAAGGGATCTGCTGTAATTGCTAGTACCTTCGGCACTCCTTCGTCTGTGCAGGGCTGCATTTGCCTCTACTCGCAACAATGTCGCCCTGAGCTGTCGTCAATGTAGGTTGCACCCGCTGTAAGGAAGGCGTAACACACGGTAATTTTATTTGTCTATGACTGATTTAGTACGTTGCTTAAGGAATTTAATAATAAAAAAAATTTCGGCATATTCACGGCGCCGAAATTATACTAAACCAACCAGACGGGCGACAGGTTGAATATCAGCCATTACCTCTGGTAAAGTAGTAACCCCTACAATTTTCTGTGTAATGCTGCATTATTAGCGAATGGTATGAAAATAAATATGGCCCCATTAACATATTATTCAGCTCCAGCTTTGCGAATCCAATTGAAAAGAACTAACCACCAGATAAAACTAGAATTGGAAATTTGAGTCAATGCCATAATCCGCATGACCCATTTCCCGAACAGTAAAACCATATAAACATCATAATAATACCTAAACCAAACAAAAGGAAGGATAGACCACACTATTGAAGAATCGGCTTCGTACTTCTGGCAAAAATATTTTGTAAACAGAATGCTTAATGTGTGGTGATTAGTGACCGTTAGTCGATAATTATTCAGATATCGTGAGATGCGGTCTGTTGTGATGTGGGAATACTTTGATTGAATATAATTTTTTTTGCATTGTATAAATTCACTTTTTTCCACATCCTACATGTATTTGTTAAATTTAAACAATGTTTGTAAATCCCAGGCCCTGAAGATGATCTCAATAAAGATCGAAACGTTGGCATGATAAAGAAAATGTTTTTCTGAAACCTACATCACACCAGACCGCATCTCACGATATCTGAATAAGAATGCTTAATGATGTTATTTAGACATTGCTATTTCAAAAATTAAAAATTAAAAAATTTTTTTTCTGTCAGACTACATATCGATATTTGTATTATAAACCTAAATCCGACTGCCCTTTTTTTAAACAAAAATGAATTATTTAAAATTTCAAAAATTATAACAATTTGTTATTACTTAATGGACTTTATTGTACTAGTAATCATCCTAGAAAGGAAAAATTTGTCTTTTTGGAAGTTAGACTTACTCTGAAGTGGGCAGTTCGATTATTTTGATTCCATCGGATTGAGGAAGGTCGGCATGTTCTGCGCTTTGCTTCTTCTTAAAACAAAAGTAGAAAAGAGGATTTCCAGTAGGCTTGATTTCTTCGTTGTTGTTGTCGATGATGGCGATGTGGTTCTCCGGGGCCACAGAGCCTCCTCTTAAGCAGCATTTGAACCACATGCTTCACCTATCCCAGGGCCGATCTTCATATCAACATTCTTAAGTTACAGTGCGTAAGAATGACCCTTATTTACGTTAACTGCTCCTGGCAACCGAAATAAACACATCCTCTCTCGGAACCGTTTATGCGTAGCGCACCCTAAGTCGTCTAGAGGGTAACTAAAGCGGTAACTGTCCGCGAGAGCTTTCAGGTCGATAAGTCCTTGCATATATTAAAGTCCGGCTTGACCAACGGCGCTTCTACTAGACAAATAGGGCAGTGCTTTCATCTAAACCAACA